CACATTTCATATAAGCGGTAACAATAAGTGATTGTGATTTCGGTTTGACATTATTCGTTGCCAATTATAACAAATGTGCATTCCTATTCGCCCAAAAGGAGTGTTTTACTGTGACCCTTCGGAATCGAGTATTCATTTCATTCGCTGTAATTCAAATTCGCAAAATATACATTCAATTTGATTACAACACACAAGGCAATCATGACTCCACTTTGATGACAAATGTGATGTTACTCATTAAGCATTATAAACTGTACACTATTTAAGGTCTTTATGATTTTTTGGAATCTCTCGTTTCAACCCTTGCAAGAAGGTATGTGTGAGCTTCAATTCCGCTGTTTGATGCGACTGTGGCAAAAACGTTGCACAGGAAGGAACGTTCCCTCAGCCTCGGTGTTTAATTGGTATTTGTATAGTTGTCGGTGTTTTTCCAAAGAGAATATGAGTGGTATATTTCGGTAATGATTATTCAAACATTTGTGACCCACCATCCCAAATCCAGGCTGAAGTAGGTAACGTCATAACCCTAAAATAGTGGAACTTCCACATTCAGATTTTCATGGGGGTTTTACAGCTATCACTACCCGTAAGAAGCTTACTGCAGACAGAATTTTGATTTAACATGGTTAACTTTCAAGTGTAAAAAAAGCAGAAAGCAAGGAATTGTCCAACATCACAAATACCCACTTCAGCCTAGTTTTGGGACTGTGGGTCACATTTAACCAATCAACAAATGCTTCTAAGAATATAATAGGAAGATTTCCACATACAGACGCCAGTAATTATTCCCAACAGTGACCGTCAGAATGTCGTAAGAAGGAAAACCATGTCCAGAAAAGATCAATTTAGAGAAGAAAAAACTGAGTCGTTTACTTTGAAACCACTTAAAATTTTTCAGACCAGTCTCGTAGGTTTTGTGCACAGGGTGTCAAGTGGCGTCTGTTTGTGGAACTCTTTCCAATATAACTTCTGTGACCACACAAACGAATTCCAATTCTTGAGCGGGTGTACCTTAAATAACGCTTTGTGCGAAATCGCCTGAATATTTTGCGAAATAGATTGACTTAAAATTAAGATTAATGCAGGATTGCAGAAGTGCATTCAGTTCCGCGCAAAAATAAATTTCAGCACACTAAACTTAGTGCATTATTTGGAAATTGAACCCTGACTTTATACGACTGAATGCACCCTCATTGAAATAGCCTTTGTATTTGTTAAATAGAAACGGGGATTTGACTGTTCATTCTATTTTGCTCGAAAAAAAGTTTTTCTTAATCTTGCCAGGTAATTGTTCTAAACATCCCACTGTTCATCCAGATGTGCAGTGGGCTGTGCCTACATGCAAAAGCTGTTCCTCAGATTAGCTTTGCACCCCCCACACTTTCCAAATGGCTGAACAGAGTAATCACCAAACTGCTGGCAAATTGATCAACAACCGAGTGTAGTTTTGGTCCAAACCACTTCAACACCCTAGGCCGATCCCGGTCCTCGCTAATACGCAGAAACATGGTGAACGTTAAGCAATTGCTCATCTGGATAGCGTTTGCCTGCAATTGCTGTTGCTCGTGCAAAAAAGAAGAAGCATTCGTTAGCTTTACTTTTATGGATAAAAACGTAAGCAAAAGCCTCCAAGAAGTAATTGCTAGTATTTATGTATGCGGCCAATGTAGCAAGAGTGCGACGTAGACCGGTAAGAAGACTAGTCACATTTAAATAAGCAATCGTGTCACTTGGTTGAGTGCATGCAGACGACCTGTGTAGAGATGAGATGCGATTGGCTTACACGTTGTCCAGTATTGTATCGTGTGATTAAACTTGGGCGTGGACCTCAGTTGCGTAGTTGCTGAGTAGTAGTAGAGTTGTTCGGACCATACTATGAGTTATTACGGCCAATAAGGTAAAAGTCAGCCAATAATGTAATACCAACCGATAATATAATGATCCAAGCGACCCATAATGTAAAAAAAAAATCGGCTGATAATGTAATAACGCAAAAACTGGCCAATCATGTAATTACACGGAGGCCGATGATGAAATAACCGTAGTGTTGCTTGTTTCTTAAAAGGCTTTGGGGGACTTAGGTTTTTGTTTAGTTTTCCCTACAGATCCATCTTATTTTAAGCCATTGCTTTTGAAGTGACCATTGTTCTTTTTTTAAATCAAATTATAACTGACCATGGACATCATCTTGTTCCAAGGTATATATAACATGCAGATGAATTATGGTGACCTCATTACAAAATAAATCTTGTTCTTTTATTTAGTGTTGAGGTGATTTCAATTAACAGCACAGTCACCAATTGGGCTTGATTGGCATTTGAAAACTTCAAAGCTCTATGCATGTATCTCCATCCCTTAAGTACATGTCCCACTGGGTTGCAAATAGCGAAAAAAGAGAAGTATTCAGGAAGAAAATTGACATCATGTTACGATTACGTCATCAGTTAACATTTTGCGTGACATTAAAGATGTATCCCTTAAAGCCTGGTACGAAAGTTACACGCAAAAAATAAGGCATTCTTTGGCATATCTGTGGAGAATATCCAGCAAATAATTAGTCAAAATAAGTCACTTAATAAAATAAGAATGAAGGGCCTTTATACCTTCTTCCACACACTCGCTAAATCAAGAGTATGTAAGGAGACGGGGAACAGTAGCAATATAAAGAAACAATACAAATCTGCAAACACATTACAGCCTTAATGAACATTGTTTATGAATTTAAATTATGTTTCAATGAAATATTCAAGAAATTAATGTTTCATGCATACCTTGTCATAAAGTAGTATAATTTATGTGATCCTCGAAAAGTGCTGGTAACCAAAAAATAAATAAAAATAAAACACTGATCACTCCTTTTAAATAGGACTAAGTATTATGGTTTTGTACGCAAATCGAACAATAAATGACCCTGTAAAAACCAAACGGTATGCACAATATTGCTTTATTTTTCACCATCGTAAACTTCTTAAGACTTACAGGACGTAGGCCTTATTAATAGTACACAAACTATCGCCGCCTGGCAGAATGAATATCATACTCTCTGAGAAACAAGCCTGAGTGAACCCTGGCAAGTCAGCATCCTTACCTCTCAGTTCAACAGTATATACTGTGATTAATAACCTCTAGCCTTGCAAATAGACGAAAGTGAAAAAAATATCCTTGCACACATACCTGTCAAAATCTCGTCCTGGCTCAAGCTACCCTCATTTTCCACTTGATTTTGTTCTTGTTTTCATAGACACATGGCTTGTTTTTCAGCTTTATGTAGTTTTTATAAGAGGGATCAGCAGGGATAACTCCAAGGAAACCTAAGTCCCCCAAAGCATCAACTGTTATTACATGATCGACGGGTTTTGGGTTTATCAGCCGATTTTTATAACATTGTGGGTCGCTTGGGTTATTACATTTATTGGTCAATTGTTATTACACTGTCGGCCCGTATTACATTATTGATCGATTCTTACATTATATGCCGCAACAGAAGCTGTTTGAGGAGCGGTAAGGTAAGCATCTTTTTTGTTGTCGAGTTCAGGCTTGGTATATTGTTTACTTGGAGTAGCTGCCTTTGGTGCGTGTGGTTTATTAAGTGACGGCAATTATTTTGTGTTGTTGTGTGCAAGGCTTATTAGAAGGGCCGAAACCGCTAGGTCGGCGCCGATGGTCAGCGTACGTTTGCCCAGTAGCAATCGCTGTATAAGTGTAGGGAATAAGTGTAAAGGGTATAGCTGCAATGAATTATTTTCAATATAAACCTTGGAAATGAGTCGTTGTGCATTAGGGTACCTTATTTTCAACTTTTGTTTCAATATTTCAAAAGATACTTTACTGCTTTTTCTTTTTTTATGCTGATGATACTATTCATGATGTCATCTCAGGAAGAAGCCTCAATGTTACATGGGTTTGCAAATAAGAAATTCTGGCATTTTTGTATTTTTACTGGACTCAGTTTTCTCCTTTTTGTTGGTTCATTGTTTATGTACATATCAATACGCAAGAATCAATTAATTACTCAGAATTGTTTTCAGTGAGGAACGTCTGGGTTCAAAATTTCAAAAGAAAACCTTTGCGATGCAATATGCCTTCCTTGGAAGACATCGTAGCCAGAAATCCATCATTTTATGTAGTGAGTCGCCGTTCTTTATTGTGGTGAAGAATACTAGGTCTATTAAGCCACACACAGGTGGTTCGTTCTTAGTAGGAGCCATGATCTTGTAAATCACACACGTAGCTTGGAGTGAGGAATAGAACAAACTGCACTTGTCGTAAAGCTTCAAGCGTGGGTGTGGAGTGTTCTCAGGGTCGAGAGCGCCGTTGGGATATACTGTTCATGGGTTAAGCGGTGAACTGGGACTGACCTATCTTTCTTCTAACTGCGTCCCATGCGTTTGAGTAAACAAACATGCAGCTATATGGTAAACCATACATACACTCAAATGAACTCCACTGCTAAATGTTTATTGTTATTACAAACATTGCAGTCAACCATACAGCCACATAACGAGGTAGCCAGCCTTCCACATGTGCCATTCAGCCACACAGCAGGTTCAATAAATAAATACACGTTTATCGAACACATTTCATAACTTAGTGCCCTATCCAGTTCTTTTTTCAGTTCTTTTAAAGCAAAAAAAGTCTAACAAATTTTAAACACACACACCCACAAAACAAAAACACACAAAACACATACACAAAAGAACATCGGTTTCCCGAACCAATTGAACCGATGAACCATTCCCATTAAAAATCTAAAGATAGGATTATATCCCCTCTCCCAGATTCAAACACTAGTACGCCTTCGTGATGATGGGAGCACAACACGCAGAATCAGGACGGGAGGACAACTCGAAGACGAGCACGTTAACGCCTCATATGGTGTGGTTTGCTGAAGGATGTGGCATAACTGTGTAGCATGTTTAGAAATGTAAATATAGGCTACTCTACTTGCTGAATGACCGCCCCTCGAAAAAAAATGGTAGACCCTGCGTAGAGTCAAATCATTGAGAGTCCTCATTGGTACGTACATGAAACAACATGGCCTCAACACAAATCGTGAGTGTCATTGCCATCGCGGCTGCAGAACAGGTACATTTAAAGCCAATTTTGGAAAGCTGTTACGAGTTTGCTATGGCCTTGTGGTAAGTCTTATACAAATTTATGCGATGACTTTGCCGACCTGCAGATGTAGGGGGTATTCAGCCTGCTTGCAGGCTGACATATCTAGCAACAGACCGGCACACCCATTATGCATTGGCTAATACAGTTGAACGACAGACCATGGCAAAATGAGCACACAGGTCTGCTGTATCTGCCGTGGTCTGTATTATAGACTTGTCACAGTCCCTTTTCTATTTCAATTTCTGACACTCCCAACATGAAAAACAAAAGAAATTAAAATAGCATGCGCCTGAAAGAATGTCTGACCACTCTCCCCCTGTGTATGGAAATGGAGGACGCATTAGTAAATGAACAATCTCACTGGCGCTCAGAATGCGAAGCCTTTTCTTCTTTTAGCAAATTGTTTATATTAACATGCATTATGATCAGTCGAGTGCGGGTAGTGCCTACGTCGCGATTTTGTTTCCGTAGGAATACCGCTGAACTGATCTCCAATGACCAGCGTACCGCCTGCGGGACGTGTATGGGGAAGGAGCGTAATCATACATGTCTCCTTAAAGGGGATGGGCTATGTAGGGTTACATTGACGTCGTATGATAGTTTTCAACCGTCTTATATACAATAAGTTGGATTAAACTCTCTTTTATGTCATTAAATTAGCAAAACTTCTGTGTGCTTTTTTCAGTCTCCGCCTAGGCTCTTCGCAAGCATTTATCGAAATCGGTCAACGAGGGCTACAGACAAATCTTAATTGGAAAAAATGTGACGTCAATGGTGGATGAATTTCGGCCGCCACCATGAATTTCGTTTTTTTTTAAATATTTAAATTCAAGTAGAACGTAGTGTTTCTGTGGCTAACAAATCAGGGAAACGGTCCATGCAAGCAATTCTCAAGAAATGATTGGTCGATATTATCCTTTTGCTAAGGGGGGGGGGGCTCAGGATTATTCCAAGAAGATTGCTGCCGTGAATTAGATTTGTATAAAAGGCAGAGGGTAAGATTTGTTATTCGCATCAACAGGGCCACTCCCATTTCTTTCTTGCTATTTGATTTTATACAGCTTCGTGGACAAGCGGTCTGTTTGCTGATATTTTAGTAGTTTTTTGCGACTGGCATAGAGAGACGTTTACGTTGATGTCAACTTTAATACACTGGTAGAGATACCAGCATTGGTGTTATAGTTGAGCGTCTTAGAAAGAACGTGTGAATTTTGCTTAATTTTGAAAGTACAATATACCTGTACTCGCACTTAGCTAGGAAGTCATGCACGGCCACGATACTGCGTGGGTTACATTTGTCAAAACACACGACGCCATCGCACCCTGCATTATGTGGACTTCTTTTGTGCAGAGGTCCAAACTATGTATGCCACGCCTGCACACCCACGCCTGTAGCCACGGCCCAGTGTTCCCAGAGAATCCGGATCTCTGAGATGCAAAGGCTCATTCTAGAACGTTTGCAGCTTTTGTTTCTAATTCACTGGATGAATTAACGTATACCAGTGAAATTATGCCGTCCCACCTGTTTGTTTCTTATCTGTGGCGGGGAAAAAAGAGCATTTTTTCGTTTTTTCGCAAAGTGCAAAAAAGCATTCGTTTTGTTCTTTTTTTTTTCCTTCTTCTTCTTCATCTTCTGACCAAAAGCCCATTTGTTTTGTGCACGTTTACTCCGCATCATTTTCATCAAACTTACATCATTGAAGGACCTTAGTTCAAAGATGTGGCTAGAACAATGACGTCATGATGACGTCATCAAGTGATTTTTATTGAATTTTTAATATTTCTTTTAGCCAATTGACTTTGTACACGTTTTCGAGGCTTTGTTTTGGTAACTTGACTCCCTTTGATCCCCACCAAAGCTACACCAAAGAAAGACCTTAAGGCAAGGATAATACCAAAATTATCACGTCGTCCGAAGGGTTTTGAACATTTGTTATAATGAGGTAACAAAAAACGGTGGGAGACGTTTGGAACTCTTGAATATATGCTTGAGTAAGAAGTGAAAAATCCAAATGTGGTAGTATCCGAAATAAGAGATTGCCCTTTTCTTAAGAAAAAAAAGAAAAATGCTAAAAAACCTCTACTCTGTGCCTTTGTCTACAATTTATCATTCCCCATTTTTGGTTCTTTTTACTTAATCATTGCAATCGATGGTAAGGAATCTGTATGATAGTTGTTCTTTAAGCTATAATTGGATTAGGCGGATATCAATTTGTTATTTTATTATTGTTATTTTATCCGTTGAATTCCATGCCTAATCGACATTTTCGATTTTTTCCCCATGGAGTTTCATTAGGATTTGAAGGTTCTCCACCTCCAGTTCTTTTTCTTTTGATTGGACAATGGAGATTGATGAATTCTCGACCGTATAAGGTCATCCTTTATATTCTTGTTTATATGAAATATAAACCGTTTATATGCAATGAAGGGTTTGGTTTGGAAGAGTGCATTGAGATATTCATTTTGGTTGATCAAATCCCAGTTTTTAAGAAAGGCCTGCTTCAACACTGAGCGTTGCTCTAGTGTTTAGTATGGCAGGAAAAAAATGAAAGCAACCGGAGTCTCAGGCTCTTTTCCGTTTACTTCGCTTGCTGGAATTCATTTGAGTCTCACCTTTTTGAGGATGGGTTAAATTTGTATGGTTGAATCAGAGTTTTTGAAGTTAATCTCTGAAGAATTCAAGTGCTTTCTCAAAATCTATACATTGTGTGCGCATTTGGTTATGTTCTCCCTTGGTTCATCCACCAAATACTGACTTAATGCGGGCCGAGTCTCGAGCAAGTTATTAAAATAGCTACTCGAGTGTCCAGTTTGGCTTCTGTTCTAAACCGTTCGCCTTTGTAGATGACGAGATCTAGGAAGGTAACTTGTCTATATGAGATTTCTGACGTGAACTTGAGCAATTTGGATTTCGAGTACTAACAAGTTCACCGGCTTGGTCTTTACTACCGTCGAATATTATGAATATGTTACCAAGTGGTTTCACTGAATTACAAAATCACTGGGTGAAGCTATTTTATCGCCTGGTATTAACCAATAATTTACTGGAGTGGTGATTATGTACAGTAATAAGGGTGTATAAAAGGACAGTCAAAAGGGATGCCGATCTGTTTTGACTCTACGCAAGAAAGATACAGAAAATAGATAACCTATGATTTATACCAACAAATAACCAATGAAATTCACCAGGTAATTTAAGACCGTAATTTCCTTAAATATGTATCCAGAATGGATCTGTAAACTGCACATCAGAATGATAGTTCAAGGCTTAATCATTGCCAATAATTATTGGAAACGGCAACACGCAAAGAAGATAATGTTATTTTCGATTACGTTCCAGATACACCAGTGAATTATCGTCAGAATGAAATTTTACAATGAAATTTACAAAATAATTCAATTTGGATTTCAAGCACATTTGTGGAATCGCGTGTATTATGTGCGTTGTTGTTTTGACAATTGGAAACAATTGTCAAAAGCTATTGAAGCAATCGATTGAGTTGGACCTCCGCAACCACTCTTGATAAGGTCCTAACGATTTTTAAAACTCCTGCTCTCTGGATACACTAGTAATGGGCTCGCGGGCGAGTTATTATGTGTTGGCAAGTGTAACCCACCCACTATAAGCACTGTACTCCACAAATCCAAACAAAACAGCAGGTATAATAGTCACTGCAGCTTACATTCCACTTGTTTCATGATTGAGTCAACTGCCCTGTATAAAATTGAGAGAACAGTGCGAAATTTTCAACGCTTAAATTAACAATATTCTAATTTATCTTGCGTAAGATCAACGGATTACAGGCAGCTTGTAATAATCAAACAACATCCGCGGGGTCAGGGTGGAAACAGGCATGACAGGTTCTCATTGACTTAAAAGGAGCAGTTTTCAATGGCTAGGATTAATCGATGAGTTTACCTTGGAGTAATGCGCCTCCTCGAAAATGTAGAACAGAGGATTTATGAAAAAAAATTCATCCAGGAGCGCCGTCGACTCGTATCCTTGACAACAAAACGAGTAGGCCTATGTAATCATGCACGTGCGCGCGCGATCGTTCTTAATGACAACACTTTCACGTCAGTTTACATGACGATGAAAGTCTCAAAACTCTATTCTTGGTTTATTCTCTAGTTATCATCAGCAAAGAAGAAACATCGTAAAACTGGCGCGTGTTAAAGAATGTGATGTGCAAAGTGACATGAACTCTTTATATGATGGTTGGCCGACAAAGGTGAAAAAGAGAGAACAAAATTGGTTTTCTTGAAAACTACACTATCTGAGCAGAAATTTTTGACAGACCCATTGAAGACGTTATGCAATTTTTTTCACGTAAGATATTTCAGGATTATACGGTAAATTTGGGATGTCACTAAGCCCCGCTTCACCAATTCCGTGCCAGTAGACATGGGGTTGGAAGCACAAGGACTGATTTACTCGACAACAAGCGAATCCCCGTGATCCACACAGTGCCTAAACTGGAATTAAAGCAATATTAACAATTTGGGTTTCACGAACTGACACATTGGAATCGACGTGAAAAAGACTGATTTTCATTTTCACGAACTGACACTTAAGCTCGTCAAAACAACGTGACATGAATCAAATCCATCCGTTTACTTGTTGCATTGCACAGAAATTTAATGAACAGTCGTCTTAACTGATATAGGGAAGTTAAGATCTATTCTAGTTCATGAAAACGTAAATGCACGGAGTGCTTGCTTAAAGTGCAGCATTGTACTAGGTGCCTACAGTTCGTGAAAACAAAAATACCTCGGTTCTCTAAAATGCCCGCAAATTGGATCAGCTCGCGCACAACTGAGTGTCAGTTTGTGTTGTCTCTGGCGATATGGATGTCACTTCTCGTGCGGAGTGAATCTTGTAAATGAGTACGCGACACCGTGACGAATTCCCCACTTCGCATGAAACCATAAAGGCGCGGAGCGTTGCCGCCCAGAACAAGACCACGTCATATTTTGATGTGTTTGTGTGACGGAGAACGCTACAGCCCTTCGAAAGGACTATTGAAGAAATGGGCTCAAGTTTGTTGGCAGTCGTAACTTCACCGGTTTACAATTTGGAATCAATGAAATCTCGTGTAGGGTCAGGCCAATCCTCTATCCTGTGGTAAAAAGCAACTACTGTGATGTAAGTTGCAATAGTACGGGGCGACACTCCTTTCAGTGACAACCAGGCGACAAATTCCCGATTTTCTTCGACCAACGCAGGCAACAATGTGGTAGACGGCAATCGCGTAATTGGCCTATGCACCAAAAACTTGCATGCTGCATGGTGGCTCAGACTGAAAGTGACAAGAGAATGTTTGACCCGTTTCCAACGTCGTGTCGAACACAATTTAACTTTATTTCTTGTATTTGGCATGGTAAAAGCATATTGGTTGAAACCAGTTTGCCTCGGCAAATTGGTTTTGGCAAAGCAGAGAATTTTGGCTCGACAGGGTCTACCGTGTTTTTGTCATTAAGTAAGGTAGAAGCAGCGTGTTGTTTCAAACTTTGTGCTACTGCCATATCGAATAGAATTCCTATTCAACTCAGTCCTAAGTTTCTTTGATAATTAGGAATGTGCCAAATGGGTGGGCTTGATTACACAATTTCTCTTTCAAAGTCTCGCTTGATATGAGATAAGATAAACTGAAAAAAGACCTTTGAAATAAAAATCATGTCCGAATATCGGAAATACACATGAATACACTCTCAAATAATATTCAACTGTTCACCTGGGTAAGCTGAATTTGTTTTCTCAGTGACTTGGGCTGAAAGTTCGCAAAAACACGTTTCTTATTGTCCCAGCCACCATGTTGAATTTGTTTAAGTTCGACTTAATGTGTGCGGTGCGAATGTGGGCGGTGCCGGGTAATGGGTATAACCATTTGGACAATGGACAGTATGTGGCACTGGCCAATAAGGGGATAATCCCTAGATCAAAGGATGGTAGGCTGTGTCGCCCTATTTCTGGGGGAAAAGGTCAAACTGTTCCAGACTGACCTCTACACTACAAATATAATAAAAACATCATGCATAACATGTCGGTCGCGTTTTAAAACATCAATGTGTTTGCTGGGCATTCATTTGCCTAAAATCAACTCGAGAATAATAAGAGGCAATTTCTGTCCACAACTGACTGGGCCGATCTCAGGCAGGAAACATACGAGGTCAGACTTTGTGTTTGTGTGGGGTTGATGACGTAATGGGAAGAAAGGCACAACATATATGCCACGAAGCATGCGTGAAAATACATGAAAGCATGCATTGTTGCTGCCCAAATGTACTCAATATAGTGCAGAAACTGCACTATATTGTACATTAATCCCTAAAATGCTTCAAGCTAAAATATTACTCTTAGCTGGTCAGAAGAAACGTGAGATTCTTTCAAAAATGAAGGAGTAAGAGACGTTAAAGGCAATGGGTTAAATTGGCGTTATATTATAATTTTCAACCGTCTTATATACAATAATTTAGATTATCCCTCTTTTGTGTCATTAAATCTACAACTTTGGCGTTTTAGATTCCCAATCGACTCTTCACGCCAGCGTTTGCGGGTAAGATGTGTGGATGGCACACAATCAGATGGCTCAAAATACATTTGCATCTTTATGTACACACACCAGCACTGACAAGTACAGTACATGTACAACCACACGTGTACTACGCTTACGAGGTAAAATGGGACTAATTTGCACTGATGCACGTGGACTATTTTCCGGTTAAAATAATGCCGCACGGTCGTCACGCACGCGACACGTCGATGCCAAGCAAATAACTCGCAGTGCACAGTGAAAAAATGTCGCAAATGGATCACCAACTTTGACAAAGTAGGCTAGCGTATAATCTGGAAAAAAACCTGCTTCTACTATACTGCTATCGAATAGCTAATGGTAGGACAATCACATCTTTTCAGAAAGACACATTTTATAAATGGTGCAGGAAAAAAAATCATGACCAGTCAGCGTTTTGCTGTCAATCCTCTGGGTCGCCGCCATTTTTAGTTTAGTTGCTAAATCTCTTCCTGCGTGTATTCTTGTTTGAACTGATAAGGCAATATTTCCCGTGCCTCATCAACTCCTTCAATGTAGCTTTCCTTGTCAAATGGACATGACAACTGATCGTGATCGGAAAAATCATTAATGCTGGAATTATCAGCGCTTGAGTCTGACATGATTGCACACGCTAACGCTCCTACATGTATATGTCTACATGTCTACGCGTAACAGTAAACAGTCACCGGATAAAGGACTGCGTCCTATGAGGTCACGATTTTGGGGAATTTTTTCAGATAACTTTCGGTACCTGACGGCTATTGTTTAGCTTTTGCTCCCCGAAGGAAGTGAAATGGGGTCGTGCAAACTATAATTTTTAACATATTTCCGCACATTTTGAAATTATTCAGACGTGTTTTCTTGTTATTTATATGTTTGTTTTATGTGCTGATGCATGATTTTCAAGAACGTTTCCCGGCACGGCTCATCCCCTTTAAAGGTGCAGGAGAACTTGATTTGCGTGGCATACGTGTGGGTGTGCACTCGTGTTCACGTGCAGTGGAAGCGTCACGGAGAATAACGCGCTTAGCGTAGGAGTGTAGTAGTAGGAGTATAGTACTGAGACTTGAATCTCAGGCTGAATCGTAGGCTACTTGTATGTGTGTGCATGTGAAGCTTAAACAAAAAGGCAACCCACGTGCGTATTTGTTTGCGCTTGTACATAGTGCCTTGTGGGGTACCGGAACAATTGAAGATACCCCACAAGGCCAGTTTTGATCCTTGTGGGGTACTAAAGTGGTACCTCACAAGAATTTCACGAAATAGATATTTTAAATTTACTCAAAAAGGAGGAATTTTCAAGTGCCATTCATTCCTCGCAAATTGAAGTGTTTTATATAAGGGACACATGGTCGAAATTTCAACCCAGGAAACTGAATTTAGTTGCAATGGCAGTAATCTGAATTTTTCCCGTGTTGTATGGGAGTTTTGAACACGAGAACAAAGGAGATACCCCACAGATATACATATCTAAGGTGGGTGTGTTGAAGAGATATATACGAGCCAGTTTTTCTTGTGAAAGTGAGTGGATTCAGTTCCCATGACAGTAATTGTGGTTTACTTGTTGATGAATGTCGGAACGTGTCAGTGTTTCTGGGCTGATGCAGTAGTCACAAACCTGACATTGGTTCAGCAGCACGGAAACTCACAACGTACCAGCAGCTGCAACACAATACAGGCAGTTGGCCAGGCATACGTGTAGCTTTCCGAACTACGCAGTACTTTTGCAGACACTGGATATTTGTCGAAGCAGTCCTCCAAACAATCTTGAAACATTGCTTATCTGCAACATTTCATTTCATTTACGCGAGTACCGTAGTAGAGGCATGCTCAAAATGTAATGTTCTTGAGCCATTCTGGTAAGGTTGTATAATCTTAGACCTTAAAGCGTTGTCGAGGAGTGATCCATTCAACACACACAAGTGTGTATTTACCTGCAACTGGGGACCCCAATTGTTCCTCTTTTGTTTGTACTCCAACTTTTTTAGAAGACCACCCATATGTTTTGTACACAGTTGTCAATCGAATCGGGGACCCTCTGCCGATCGGGGACCTTATTGTCCTCTATTGTTCAGGGTCCTCAATTGAATGCAGAAACAAACTCATAATGACACAGGAAAACTCAAGACCAAGTCTCAGTGTACGAGATTCGAATCTGAAACTACAGACTGTAAAAGAACGGTGTATGTTTTATTTCATGAGTAAAACGAAACAAATCATTCACTTGAACCGATGGATGGAACAACCATATAGTGGAGAAAGGCTCAAGAACATTGCATTTTGAGCATGCCTCTACAACGGCACTCGCGTAAAATGCAACCTGTTTACAGCCGTATCTCCTAATGACGTGTTGGGGTTACCGGCATAGGATTAATGCATGATGAGTGGTTTTGAAATCGGCGAAAAGGAGACTTGCGAAAGCCATTTTTTTTTACTATTTTCGATAATAAATAGGATAGCTGTTCCATTTTCCATGTTGATTTTGAAATATCGTCTTATCATGTGCACCAGTTCTCTGAGTCGGTTAGATTGAAGTTAAGGACAATACGTTTTAGAATGAAAATCACTCTGAATTTAGGCTGAGAAAGGGTGAAAACAGCCCCTTCCAAAGGAAACTCGAGTAAAATTTCAGTCTTTTGGAGTGAAGAAATTTCGGCCCAATTCGTCTGGTCTTCAATTTCTATCGAAAGGATTGAATTCTCACTCAAATGGATTAATTTTCACTCTTTGGAATTAGGAATGCTGTTTACAGGCTACAATGGAGCAAGGAAGAGTTTCTTCACCTGCCTCTTTAACATCAATGGATCACACCTGCTTCCAACATAACCGCCTAGTGGTTGCCAGACGTAATCACACTTATTACGTTTTACAGTGTGTATTAGAATGTCAACAGTGATGTGGTTGCTTATTTACTCATGTTATTCATGGTGTTCTACGTCAATCGCCACAGGTCCAAATTCCACATGAATTTCATTGCCCTTGAGTTGCGACCTTCGAGCAACTAACACAGCTGCCAGAATGACGTGCAAAACGTACACAGCAGTTGTGATATTATTGGCTCAAATCTGCGCCCGTACAAACGCTAATCCGCAAGGTAAGTTGCATTACGATTACAGAGGAAAGCACAAATCAGTATATAATGCATAATTTTAATCGCACTAAAATCAGTAGTAGACACGTATGCTGGTCCAATGGCCGCGACGGGAAAAATTGACGTTGAGCTGTAAACGGACAGGCAAATGTCCTGGTTTTAAACAGCGTTGTTCCGTTTTCCTAACGACGTACTTGGACGTCGTAGTTTTGAAACATAATTTTGAAACACCACAGAACAGCAACTCCTGTAAAGTTTGACAGTCAAGATATGATTCTCGATCTCTGGCTACTGCTCTCACGGTTGGCCTCAATCTCATTTGAACTTTGCCTGATTGAGACGTCACGTGCAGCTGTTGACCTTGGGGTAACTTTTTTTGTATTTGGTTTCTTTTTCCAAACTCAACCTCGAACCCAACAATGTGAAATGAGGTGCATTCACACAATGAGAGGGTCTTAGAGAGGGTAGCCTTTACGTCATGGTGGACAAGGCCTAGCCACTACCAATTCTTATGAGTGCACCTCCAGGTTGCAAACTTCCTTACATTCCAATATTTTAAGCAATTTTATTTTTGTCAATCGCGGTTTGCCTGTTGTTGCAATTGGCAACCGCTTGCCACTCTTCCGTCGTCAAATTCTCTGTCATCTTCTTGTGTTTGCAGTTTGTTCACTTTCTCACTGAACAGAGAAACAGGCAGTGTATGGCCTTTTCTGGACAGACTGCAGAGTGACCTACAATACAAAAGGCAGAAAAAAAACAAATGAATATTGTAAATGAGTGGAGGCTTACATGTGCATTTTTGGAGAGTCTCTTTATTGTCTTTATTGGTGGAGTGAAATTGGTCAAGCTGGAGATAACTATATGGAATCCGAGTGACGACCATATGTGGACCACTTACGATTTCCCCTGGTAATTTGTACTCAAAACACATGCGGGTAGGTCTACGGACAATATCGCAAAAAGGCGTAGGGCTAATTTGCTTTCTGTTTATCAGTGCTTTTGGTGTTGTTATGCAAATATGATAGATGACTCCAAGGTTAAGGTGCGCACTTAGGGCTCATACGTTAACGGATCAAATCTTCGGGTTTGCACTTGAACATGCCTAGAAAAGGGTGCAATCAACCAGATTCAGCTTTCTGGTTTGTTATTCCAGAAGTTTGGAATGTCTCCATAACAACGTTCCCAGAGGGCCCTGTCCTTGAGGGCAGTAACGTCACGCTCACTTGTGCCGTCAACAGCGACCCACCCTCTGGAGGATGGCTTGAGTTGCAGCACCGTTTCTGGTACCGGACCACTACAGTCAGTGATGAGATTTATGCAGCGACCAGCCACAATTTTGAGCTTGAAGGAGTCCTCTGGAACCAGACTGGCTGGTACCTATGTTACGGAAGGCAAAACTTCGAACAATGGCCTAGGTCCTCAAATTTGACTCCTGTCATGGTCCATTGTAAGTAATTTGGGCAAATTATTAAAGAATATCTAACGTATCGTCAAAGTCATCCTCCTCAACAAAGCTTAAAGGGTAGCTGCGATCAACGTTTGTTATGACAAACTTATAAAAATGCACCTTATTTTCAACTGGTTTCACTATTTCTAATGGTATATTAATGGCCTTTTGGTTTTTATGCTAATGAGTATTTCCATATTCATGGTACTATGGTGTCATTTGAGGAAGAAAATGTTACATTGGTTTGCACACAAGAAGTCCCACGTTTTTGTAGATTTTCCTCCGCCATGTTTTCTAGTTTTTAGCGTTGTCTTATTGTTGTTTAGGTATACAGCAAAAAGAAATCATCAATCCTTCTCTCAGAAATTCTTTCAGTTAGCAAATTCTGGGTTTACAATTTGAACTGAAATACCTACGCACTGCAACATGTCTTCCCTAGATGACTTCACAGCAATAGCGCCCTCAGTTGTCCCGGAAAACATAGATAATTTTGTATTTTTTACCAGTGTGTTCTTTTCAGTATATTTAACCAAATGTTTGTTAAGAGTTTTTAAGGATGCAGAAAAATTGTTTCGAAGAAAGGTTCGTTGCAGCCACACTTTAAATAATGACCCCCTTGTAACAAGCAAATTGATTGCCTAGATTTCATTACTGTCAGAATCCGCCGGCAAATTGAATGCCTGCCCCTAGGTGTCATTCTGGCCCTAAGTGTCTGAATATTATTCAAACATACCTTGGGAAGGAATTTATTTTTCTTACTCCCAGGGTTTTGAAAGCGTTAAACATAGGGTTCACCCCTAGGAAAACCAAGCATGTTACATAAAGAAATTCACAAATGTATTCTTGCCCCAACTCTCCTCTACCAAAATTCATTCAAAAGTCATTTTTGGATTTTTTGATTCACTCCCAGGTTTGAAAAAAATACTTGTGCTTTTGCTTGTAACAGACTTAAGAATATGGTGGGAGAAATCAAATTTGGAAAAGCCGTCATGTTGAATCTTACCTACAAAATAATATTTTCATGGCAATTTAGGCTTATTTTTCAAAACTGTATTAGAATTCATCACATTGTCCTTCAAAAATGAGACATCTTTAGTTTTTCGAACTGGCAGACGGTTGTCTTGATTGTTATCATTTTCTTTTTGAACTCATGACTAAGATCGACCTACAATAACCAATAAAGACAGGACGTGGATTGGGGCAGAGGAGATGTACACTGCAACTTTGGAGTGCGTGATCCGGGGAAACCCCCAACCTACGGTAATTTGGTACGGTCTAAACGGAACCATCATAACTGCTACCAACGGCTCTGAAGAAATTTCTCTGAAAGATGTCATTAGGGGGGATGGAGTTGTTGGATACCTCGTCAAGAGTCGCCTTACTATTGACTCTGTGAAGCCCAGCAAAGATTACGGGATGTACAGGTGTAGAGCTTCAAACAATATTGGCTCATACGACGAGCATGAAATACAGCTAACTAAAACAGGTAAATATATTTAATGCTTATTGGCAAATAAGCTAAAATACACAAATGGTCTTGCTTAAAGGTAAAGTGTTTAAACCATCCCTTCTCACCACACAGTGGTGTGCCGCGTGTGGAAAATCACCCCTTCTCACCAAACAGTGTTGTGAACTTACGTCAATGGTGTCCCACTGAAGACATTTTATAGTACATGCAGATAGGTCAACACCACTAAGGCACACTATGTTCCCGTCGGCCTGCAGCCTGTGGTCACTGTAGGTTTTGGCTGTTCAGACCCTCGTCTTCCACTGTGCTGGACGCTAAACATGTTTAATGGTACTCTCCCAGAAACCAGTTCAGGTACGATCTTTGACTTATCTGTTTGGGCTGCTGTCGGGTACAACTCGCTACTTTGAAACCTTTTTCTCGTTTTTAGATGGCCCTGTCGCCTACGCCAGTTTTCATTACAATCAAAATACTCATTAAACTTTTAGAGCTCTGTATACTCTGTGCCAAAGTGTCCATTTTTTCACTCCTGTCAGCTACGGGATAAATAAAAATGGTTTAAAGAAAGCGAACTATATTATGATCCCCTTTATGATATCAAGATGCTTCTTTTGATGTGATTTTATTGTGTTTGATTTTCCATACCCCCTCCGCTTTAAACTCTCCCCTTCTTCCCCTTTCTTTCTTATTTTGCCCTTGTCACTGCAACATTACTTGATTTATCTGTTGGTATTCCTTATTGAGCATAAATCTATCGCTGTGGTTGAATGAGTGGCAATTCACTGTTTGGTGTAATGTCTTCCCGGGATTGGGATTAGCTGAGTGAGATGGGGAAGTGGTTCCACAACTGGACCAGTCTAGTTACTAACCAGCTCATCAATGTGTTATCTTGGTAGAGCAGCTGATTTTACAAAGCGTGGTGTAACGTCTCTTCATGCGTAGACCCTGCTTCCCAAATATGTGTGTTTTCTTGCAGAGTGCAAAATGCTTATGGTCAATTTCATGAAAAGTCTTAGCAACATGCGCAACGTCATATGATTAGATTGAACTTCTTGAACGAGAACCACCACGGCTTTTACTACAGACGTTTTTTCTGCAATACATAAGTCATAAAAAGTTGCTGAACTAGCCCCGCTTGCCAGTTTGAAAAAGTTTTCATCTTTACTGTGAGGGGAGGTCTCTCACAGATAAACGAATTACCTCCCAAGACAATTATTACACTTCTTGTATATATATTTCTCGTAAAGGATCAAAGACAAGCCTTCACCGATCGGCTGAAAATTGTCCTTGGGTCGTTACGCTAAGTAGTAATGTCTGTTAAAATGACATAAAAAGTTGAAAGCTAAAGTCAGGGAAGGGAGGAAAAATGTTGAGGAAAACCTATTTAAAAAGAGAAAGTGCGTTCCTTACAATCATTATACTGTTGATTATTATGATAAATGCCTACTATGACAACATAAAAGTAATAAGTACGCATGTGCAGTTCCAAAAAACACAGGACATTGGTAAGAGGCCTGAATATAGCTTTGAAGTCATGCAAATGTGCAAAAAGTGGAACACAAAAGGCATGTCGTGAAACGGGAAAATAATGTCCCTTTTAAAAAGATTCACTGTCAACTTTTATTTTCTGTGTGACGTCTGATACGAATATCAATGTAGTATTTTCTTTTTTTAAGGAAAACCTGAGCCGCCACGTATCCTGAGTCCATTCTATGTATCGAGGAGATCCATAAGTGCCACATTTGTACCAGGTTACGACGGTGGCGAGAGACTGCAGTCCTACTTTGTCAACATTCGCAAGATCCCCGGAGAGTTTGACCCCCGTGGCTGGAAACGACACAATCAGAATGACACTCACCTCAGTTTCGACAACCTCAAACCGGGCGCCCAGTACCAAATTGCCATGTATGCAACCAACGCTCATGGCTCCAGTCCACATGGGACGGTAACGGTTTGGACGTATCGTGAGTACTGTTAGTAGTAGGAACTTGTGGTTTGTTCCATATAATTTACCTTATATAATAATTTTCGGATTTTCAAGGTTTGAATTGGGAAAACGCTGACAGCAAAAACATCATCAACAGCAAGAATTACAACATATACCACCTAACTTGTCTTCAAGTTTTGATAACGTTCGAGCTTAATTCTTGTTTTAATTTTGCGTTTTTCTTATTATTTTTCCTCCATGCTTGTGGCATTTTAGTCGATACACCTTTTTCCTTAGGTAAGTGGGACTTTTTCGGTTAAATTTTTGATTTTGCCGGTCGTTCCTTTTGCGTAGATTTAGGCAAATTAGGAATGTTAGAAATTAAAGCCTAGAGTTACAAGTAATAAGGGATTTCTACACAATACAGAGGAAAACGTTTTTAACACCACCCCATTGAACTAATGAAATGCAGCAGACACGGGGAGTAGAATCTTGGGTGGTCATTACAAGGTATTCAATATAATTACGGATCCTAACAGAAAGATTTCAGACTAATATAGGAAGGACTCTGGCCTTGAAATTTACACATGTTAATTGCCATGGATACAATAAAAATAAAAAGATGTTTTAAACAGTTACAGTCTATTCCAATGAAGTGTATGTCGATCGAATAACATTGAATTCCAAATTTAAGAGTAACATTTAGCAATACACTAGAAGCAAATTTTAACAATTTTTAATCGCGGTTTACCCAATTAAGCTTTGGAATGGTTTTAAGCTCTTGGACAAAACCAGAGCATGCAGTGTTAGGAATAGGCGTCGTTGTATGAGCAAAAGTGTTGTAAAAATTTATCATCGCACTGGTGCAAAGATATTGATCAAGGAGCCAAACACGTGTCAAGTCAAAGCATAGAGGAAGGACACAGAAGGAGTTTGAGCTATCTGAGCTGTAACATCTGTCCAATTACCGCTTTCTGGCATGTCTTGTATATGTCCATAGTCAGAGCGCAGCGAACGCTTCCTACGTACTACGTTTCACAAACACGAAACCCCTCCGTAGGCCTACCATGTGATCGCCGCCGTAATTTGTCGCCGGTAATCTGCATCCTTAAAGCTTTGTGCCATGATGTATAGGAAATTGAATATTCATGCAGTTGTTGGTGTTTGGTGTTATCTCATGACAACATCAAATTCAATGCATGTGCAGTTGCTTGCATTACACTGTGCGCCCTAAATGTATATGTGCATTCATTGCCCTCGATGAGCTCTTTCTTCTGGAGTTTTAGTGAATAAATGGCCCCCTGAAATAGCGCATTTTGTTACTTATGAACTTAGCTTTCCAGAAAAAGTGAACCTTTTGTTGGCCAAATTCGTACCAAGTCTTTGCACACTGATGCATTTGACGGAGGAGAATGAATTTGCAAACTTTGCATGGATAATTGAGCAGTGTATCAAAATTTTAAAAGTTTACTAACGACGGCAAAAGTAGGTCTAATATCAGGATTTTTTCTCTCTCTATTTCCTGGTCACAGCAATAATTTGTATCTAATTGCAAGCAAACCTACAAGTGTTGCTAGGACAGGCAGTTTTCGAATGTTTTGTATTATTCATCTCACTCAGCGGCGACCATCATTGAACACTTTGCCGCTCTGTGTCCTTCCTCTATGGTCAAAGTAACAGAAAATTTATTTACTTCCAAAGTTCATGTTCAGAATGTGCAACTTCCTTGAAATAGTTTCTTAGACTTGCCATTAACTGGGCAGGGAAAAATTGTTCTACCTTTACTCGCAGAAAATAATTACAGAATGAGTTAAATAACTTTGCAATCTGAGCTGCATGTTAACGAGGGTGCTCAGCCTACCCTGTGCTGGCCGTTGGGATGAGACGTTAATGTTAACTTCTGTCTGTGCTTCGAATTCGCCGTCAGGTATAGACGTGTCGTACAGTAGAGCACAAGAGAGATTTGTCGTCACCGGCGTACCACAAGACAACGATACAGCAACCTGCTTGCGAATAACTGGGAATAACTACACCATGTACGGATGGAAGAGTCTCGGTTCAGACCTGGACTGTATCCAGCATGATGGCGTGTTCCCGTACACCGGTCTGTCATACCGAATGAAATGTAATTACTGTCGGGACGATGTGTGTAGCAGCCCCAACAGAATATACGGTAAGCGAATAATGTATTCGAGCCTGGGTGTGACTAAGAAAATCTGTTTTCATTTAGTTTCTAGAAAGTGATTTCATCAGATTGTCAGCGTTGCATCTGTATAAGCAAGTTCGACCACTGACAACTTACATGCCACCGGTCGATTATCCTTGGTAACGTGTACGTGGTGCCTGGTGCATCCTGGGCACCAGGCCAAATCGACCTGTGGTGGACAGATGTTTATTACTCAGACTTGCCCTTTGCTGTTTCAATTCTCAAACAGTTTTTTTCATAGAAAGAATCATTGTTTTAGTTTTTGTGGCATGGGACGGTCACATATTCCTTGAGCATCCTTGCTGCTGACACTTCATTGAGCAGTACATGAACAGGTCTAAAGATGTTACTATGTTTCAAATCGGGAACCTAAAGAAACCAAATAATTTTTTGCACCTAAACTGCATTTGGTTAATAAAAACACGGGCTAGCACCTTTAGTTACCATGTTTCTGATAAAATAATCTCAGGGATCTGCTTTTAATGTGATGCAGATATCTGTTCCTTATCATTGGAAGACCTGCATCTCCTCTGCAGCTAATAAGAAGCTCAAAAACGTTGAAAATAAAGTGCGGGTGGAGTTCCACATTTACTAACAACAGAAGTAAAGCAATCAATGGTAAAATGCAGTAACCCAAAAACTTTTATCATATTAAAAGCTAAGTCAACTTGTGCGAAGAATATGCGTTTTCGACGTCCTTCTAGCATGAAATAGCCTTCATAACCAAAGAGCGAGACCTTTACCAGAAATTTTGTTAACAGTAAAAAATAGACCTTGTTTTCCTCATCGATACTTTTTACATCATCTTTTATCAGTTTTATGCTCATCAGTTAAAATATACTTAACGTCAGTTGATGTAATACAGTTAGAACTCCCCTGACAGGCGTTCGAAAGCCGCTGGGTCGGCTTTAAAATATTGCCTCTGTCACTACTTTGTCCATTTTGTTTCGCATTTTCAGATGACCTCGTCTTCATTCCAGATATAATTACAATCACAACTTCCGTGCCAAATTTAGAGGTCTGTAAACCTTATCCTACTTGATCAATAACACGTCTCATGTGTTGAACAGAACCAGGTTTGATGGGGGTGTTCATTTTGCTGCTGGTGAGGCAACAGTAACGCATGTATTTTATAATCTTTTGTGCACCAGCTAAGTGCAGTTGTGCCCTCTCTTGGTTTAGCTTGGGAAAATGACAATTTTGTTAATCGATACCAACAGGAGAAATGAAAAAGCTTTAAAAATCGCGTACTTAATATTATATCCACTTTTATGTTGTCAATTTTTGATTTCATTTTATGGTTTTCAATCTCAGTAGAGCTTTGTTGAAAAATAATTTCCACGGTAGAATTAGCTTTTAGAATTTTCAGGTTAGCATACTACAATTATGTAGTTGTATTTCGATCCATTATCCTTGGTAGAGTAAATCTGTACTTGTGTGGGGAGAACTACCGTGACCAAATCGCAAGGGACATTTGCAATGTGAACATTTCGAAAAATAATCAAACTCCTTTAAAATGGTTGTGAGAACAAAAGCGTCTTACAATGTCTCAAAGATTTTCAGTAATTGGCAAATCGAAAAGCATAATTGCATGTCCTGAAGATACAATTTCTTGTTCCAAACACACAAAATTAATTCAAAAATAAGTCTTTGGGTTAACACAGTGCTGTGGAGATATCGGAAACTGCAAATAACATAAACGTGATCGTAGAGTGTCTCACTTAGCTAACAGGAGACATACAACATTTGTCTTTGTCGGCCCAGATTACCGCCATTTGTCTAAAATCTTCGTCTCAGATCCACCGACTGGACTTGGTGCACTTTCCATACTCATGTGGTTTGTTACTACATTACATATAGGCAGAAATAATCAAGATTTGCCCCAATCATTTTGGTTTAACCTTCACGAGGGACGACTCTTCAAGTGAACGATTTGGTAACCCTCATTTGGTTGTAACAAAGGAGAGTACCAGTACGCCAATAAAGCATTATGTAAACAATGGGATGGGGTTGTCCGCGCTCACCTGACACTCTAGTGAACGAGAATAATAACTACGACTTAGGTCAATTATTGTGAGTCCAAAAGACTGCGGGCCAACAAACCGAGGCAACCCCTGAAAAGATTGCGTGCATACACGCAGTTGTTGTAGTGGCATTGGTCCACGCATCAACAAAATGTATAAGACCGTGACAGCTGTGTAAACGGAAAACAATTTAAAGTTTAAAAGTTTGCTGCCAAACGTGTACCAAGATGGAAGGAGCTGTAACCCCCAATCGCTTTTAGTGTGGAGATTTCAAATCATTGACCTACGAGTTAGTTCTTTCTCCTATGGTGTTAAATTGAATTTTCCTTTCATAATGGCCTTTCAGAGAGGTGAAGCCAATTCTAGGGGGCTTTTTCACCCACTCTCTAGCTAGTGGGCTAAGAGTATTGACCTATAATGAACTCTGATCAATAACAGTGTCGAGGTCTGGCTGTTGAAAAACTTGTACAAACCCTAAGGGAAGTTAAATATTCAATAATTTATCATTAATTACGTATGAAGTCTTCATACTAACTTTCCTCCTGGACTATCTCCTTGAATAAATTTTAAAGATTGCCAAGTTTGAGGTTGGTCAGATTTATTAAACTACTTACGTCGACTTGTGGAAGGAAATGTGTACAAATCCTATGAGCAGAGTCCAAAAAAGGAGAAATTAAGGAAAACAAAAGTATTTGAAAAGGAAAAAACTAATAACACAACCAAGCTATTTCGCCGAAACGATGAAACAGCTTATAAACAACAAAATCGTAACACAAAAAACACCTTTTCCGCAAAATTGCGCAAAAAGTAAACAACAAACAAAACAAAAGGAATTACCTTTTCGCAAATTTGGGGGTAAACACAAAAAACCCTGGGCTATTAGAAAATGCTTCACTATTTCTCCAAAGTAAAAGTCTGGGCGACAGACTATTGCCCCCGACGCCCCTATTGGGTCGAGGAAAGAAGGTTTACCGTTCAATGAGCCTACAGGAACTTAATGTCCACATAAATGGAACTTTTAGTTTGGTTACCCGTACAGATTGGGACGTGACCATGACTATGTCTCCACCGGGTCCGGTCGTCGAGGGCACCGAGGTCTTACTCACCTGCATCATCAACAGGGAAGAACTTGATAGCAAATTGACTCTCTGGCAGTTCAGCCGTGATCAGATATCCTCAACCAATCTTAATCGACCGACATATGAAAGACCTTACACAAATTTGACTCTGGGTGAGGTATACAGAAACCAGTCTGGCTGGTACCGATGCGCTTGGACCAGATACGCACCACCGTCTAATTGGAAGCCAAGTGCATACTCGGAATGGACTGCTGTTGCAGTGTTCTGTAAGTAGATCTACAACTTCCAACAAAATGAAAAAAAAAACAATTCTGATCACTCACATTCTCTAACATAGTAAAATGGCATTATTAAGGTAGCCAAGCTGTTAATTAGTCGTAGCTATTCATAATGCGACTGCCACTACAGTAGGTATGTTTTAAAATGAAAGAAATTCCTCAAAACTACATTACTTTAGGATCCAAAACAACTCTGAAGACATTGGAAGGATCACAAACACCTGCTGCGATTTTTGTCCCAAACAGTTTTGGTTTCCTGTTTGTGATTGGTCTTTTACGTGCGTATCTAATGATTTGTTCTCGACCACACAAACCAAGCACAAAGTGATATTTTTTTTCACTCGTAAATCACAAGTTAAAAAGAAGTGAAAAACGACAAAGATGATTTGAACCTGAAATTTATGATTTCAAGTGAGGAGTATTTCCAAGCAATCCACACATGGCCTGCCAAGCTCCGGAGAATTTAAAACCTTCATACTTTATTATTTAACCACCCTTTGAACCCTTGGACAGAATTGTGAATAATGAATAAGAGCAAAGGGTGCACCCTTTTGAAACCGTTCGATCTCGTTTGGTAAAAGAACTACGTACCCTGGCAATCTTTATTTGCCTCTGATGCTAATTTCTCTCTCATAGATCGCCCCGAAATAACCAGTGAGGGGAGGACGTGGATTGGTGTTAACGAGAACCAATCAGCTACATTTGAGTGCGTAATCCTGGGCAATCCCCTTCCTAAGGTCACGTGGTACGGTGCAAATGGTATTGCAATAAGTAACAACACCGATCCCGGTCGAGTGTACCTGGAAGATACCATTACTGGAGATGATTTTGCAGGGTTTTTAATCAAGAGCCAAGTGACAATCTTTCCAGTGCAGAGCACCGACTATGGAATATACACATGTAGAGCTGCCAACCATATCAGTCAGTATGATAAATATGAAATACAGTTGAATAAAACAGGTAAGTTTCAGTATGTAGCTCTGTGCCTCTCACTATTGTTACGTCATTTTCATGCAATGCATGTGCCCCAAGTATTAAAAAATATCTGGATTGGCCACAGTCAGTAGGAAATAGAAGTTACTGCGCTCCACGTTAACACTTAACGAAAACACTATTGATTTATCAAGATTTCTTCGGTGACAAAAGTGATACTGGCTCCCTCTGCTCATTTCAATCATTTAGGTAACAACACGTAGTTTCAGTCTTTTTCACAGCTTGGTAAGGTGTACACTGTACTCACTTTGGTATTGGCTGTACGTCAGCTTTATTTATGGCCCACGGATAGCATCTCCCAGAAGGGCGCCAGCTGGGTATTCTGTGGGTATCGTTTATTTCAAGCGTTGGGTAATAAAGTTATGCGGGTATGGCCAAGTACCAGCGGCACTGCACCATGAGCCAATTTCCCATTCCGTTTACGTTGCTATGTTGATTTTAGAGCTTCAGCAAGAAAGTGAGCAAAGCTACTACGTGTGTTTCCTTCCTCAATTTAGTTTGGAACGCCAGTGAACTTTTGTGATTGAAAGAGACGTCTGATGGGTTGTTTTGCTAGTCAGTGATCTTATATAGGCCCTTATCAAATATGCAGTAGCCTTTTTCGAACAGAGAGGTTATAATTTGGGCAATTACCTCTTTCTAGCAAGCCAACAAAAGGACTTGGAACCGTGACGTACGTTTCAGTAATTCAACCCCCATAACCCTGCTAGGCATACTTCAATTGACTTGTTGAAGGCACTCCGGACAGTCTCTGAATGAAACTCAGTATCAAAACTGAAAATTGGGTGACAGATTGAAAATAATTAAATGAAAATCTCCTATTCTAATCAAAAGCAGAAACATAGTTGCCCTCTTATATTGGCTTTCTGGAGAAAAGTCTATTCGGTATACAAACAATAGTCATGCACCTGTAGACCCATAACAGAGCTTACAAATGCTCCAAAATTGACAGGTGCCCTCTGACACCCTGCTCTTTTGAAAGCACAGCGCTGTAGGCCTCTAGGACCAATAATACTACTTTGATCAGAGGCGTACAGCAAGTCACTATTTGCTGATGAAGTGCCAACACATTTTAGACCCTTGAGGATAGTATAACTTTTTATATACTTTATTTCAAGTCAGGCATTTCCGATGATGGAGGGTTCGGACATTACGCTACTCCTTTGGTTTTTATGATTTTTTTAATTTCTCTTCAGGAAAGCCTGAGGCACCGAAAGATCTTCGAGCATATTACTTTGCAGAGAATGAGATTCAGGTGGTTTGGGCACCAGGTTACGACGGTGGCGAGACGCTGGAGTTCTATTACATCAACATTCGCGTGATTCCTCGAGAATTTGACCTTCTGGGCTGGAATGAACTCAATCCAGACAGGCCCCATGATCATTTCAGTGACCTTGAACATGACACGCTCTACCAAGTAGCAGTGTATGCCAAAAACAGGCATGGCTCGGGCCCTTACGCAACAGTGGACAAGCGCACGAAACGTAAGTGTCGCCTGTCGCCTTTACTAGTGCTATTTGCATGTGATTGTGCACATCGTCTTCTACATTATCCGTTTGCCTATTTTTAACAGTGAATTCTGTACGACTGCAAGACACTGCCTCCGTATACGATCCAGGGCAACCAGGTAGTGCTAAACACAACAAACCAAGTTACTAAACAGCACTCTAATATTTTATTTTTTGGAAGGATAAAAACATACTACTCTTTAGATTCATTAAAAAAATGTCAGCAACATAAAGAAGTTTAGAAAATCTTACAAACAACCACAAAGTTGATTTAGAAAGCTATGAATTAATTCTCTCAGCCACAATTCTAGATTGTAGATGAAACAGTCTAACAATTCTCTGCAGTTTCTTTTTCTTTCAGCCAATGCGCCGTCATTGATGGGTAAGTACCTGAATCTCTGTGCCAAAACGTTTCTACTGGCATTCAAAAAGGGGACGATAAATTACTTTTTCATTTTGCAAAAGTTGATGTAATAAAGGGGCCTTTCTGATTTTGAAGATATTTGAATTTTTGCAAATTTCCTATGCCTACATGACTGAGAGTGTAGGGCTACTATTGAGATTTGACTTTGCCAAAAAAATGGAAAAAGAATCTCCTATTTTTTCACAGTTTTACATTTTCTTTCAATCCCTGGACAGGTATCACTGTGTCATACAGCGTGGCAGAGAGGACGCTCTTTGTCGCCGGCATGCCAGAAGGCAGCAATGCCGGGACCTGCTTGCAGTTGATGGGTTTTGATGCTGAACACAACGACTGGGTGAGTCTGAGGCCAGACCTGGACTGCGTTCAGCATGACGGCGAGTTTCAGTACTCTGGGCAGTATGGCGGCCATTTGCATTGCCGGTACTGCAGGGATGGGTTGTGCGGCAAAGAGTCCCACATAGCCGAGGGTAAGCTTTGACTCTTGGAAATGTTAACGCCGGTTCGTACACCAGCCTGGTATAGCAAAGGCAAATTTTGAAATACCCCACGTTTTCAGGGGTCTTTTGTATATTCAAATACATGTATTCGATTAATTACCAAATCTTCAAATACAGGTACAATTTTGGAAATACTCAAAGGTTAAAAAGGTGAAAATAACAAGGGGAGAAGATTTCAATTTCATGCATTTGGTAAAACCAAACTAAAATTTCAGTCGGCAAGTTGTGCCGTATTTTCAGATGTTTGGAGTTGACGTGTGGCATAATTCCAGTAACCGTACTCCCCCTGTACTGAAAATTGATCAATAATATGATCACGACACACATACATGCTTATGTAGCTGCTTGCTGGGAATTCAATTCAACCAAAATAATTCAATATTTGATTAAACGGGAGATGCAATATTCAAATATTCATTTATTTAAATTGATTAATATGTCAGGACGCACATGTACATATACGCACTTTGGCAGTTTGTGGGACAAAATTTTGTAACACCATCCGCAACTACTGACATTACTCGTCATTTGATCTTACACTCCACAATTTGGGTTCCGAGGTAAACCCTACAATTTAAGCTAGGTGTAGGTCTTCCATTCTTTGTAATTGTGAAAAAGGACCCGAGTTGAGAGTAAGCCCAAATATAAAACTTCTTTTTCTATCTCAGTCATATAAGCCTGATTTTCTGGTGAAAAAACTGTGTCTATCGACTGATTTTGCTGTTAGTTTGTAACATGTTCATATTTAAACGCGCTTAGCACATTGACAGATAACGTTCCACTAAATTCTGATTTACTGGACACAACGCTCAGCTGCAAAAAATGTAGGCCTACACGAAATATTGACATGACTATGTTTAAATTCACTGCACAGTTTGCATTGTAGAATGAACTCTTTTTTCACTGAGCTTTTTTGCAAATGTTTTCTGATAACAGTGAATCCGTCGACTACTCCGGCCCCTCAGTCAGCTTTAACGACTGAGGCGAGCGGTAGAAACGGCGAGGCCACTTGGCCGATAATCTTGGCCTCCTGTTGCGGTTGCGCGCTCCTAGTGGCCTTCATTGTGTGCTGTTACAGGCGCAAGTGGTGCTGTGTTAAAACCACCTCATCAGGTATGGCCGGTGCCCCAGAAGGACTTTACTAGAAGCACATTGAAATGTTCCCATGGAATTTGGCAACAATGACCATCTACCTGCCACTTCAAATAGTTTTTATCGTATAAGGGGGACAAGCAACATGGAAAGGGGTATGATGAATCTACCATACAAAGATAGATTTTATGACAGGACAGATGGTAGTAACTTGTGTCTGGTTTTTCAAAATGCCAGAACACAAAATGCCATCATATGTTCAAGTACTCAGCCTTATTAATGTGTTTTTTCTCATTTCATAGAAGACTGTGCTGAATACACTACCCAGCCAAATACGTAAGTGCCAAAGCAACTCCTGGTATGATTGTTAAAAACGTATACTGTCGCCACCACATCTCTTCTTCAAAGCTTGACTTTATTGCCTGAAATCCAAGCTGCAGGATTTTCACAAACTTTGAATTCTAATATCTTCCGAAATGAAAATGACTCGACAATTGTACTTAAACAGGCGTATTCCTCAGAGTCAGGACTATTATATGAAGCTTTCCAAGACCGTATACTCTCCGATGTATGGCGCCTTGAAAACCTGGCCTGTAATATTTAAATGCCGAACGTAGGCAGCGCCATTTTGAAAGGCACCTGGCAGGCTCTCTGGCACATATGCAGCAACGTATGAGACGGAGAGAACCCCCCTGCTCTGTGTTGGTCATTGTCTCGCAGGAATCTGGAGAATTCCTTTCAGACAACTTGGGGGATGTGTTAAGTAACAATAGTCTGGAATGTGTATAGGGATTGGACATGTTGGGGGGTATCCCTCGGTCTCATTTCTTGCTGGGTATACTCTGGCATGGGTTGTACCATACAAAACTGGTTCCCGTCACCTTGTGTGACAGATGAACAAGGAACCTGTGAAATTAAATTTGAATAACATTAATATGCATGCCTCTGTTCCATGCTCCACACACGTGCTATGGGTGTATGGTACACTAGGATAGTGCAAGCGCAACCTTTTACTAAGCAATGCTTATATATAATAATATATTTCTTAATGATTTAGAGGTAAAGTTTCTCGGCGTTTTTCTTGTTTCATTTCTGTCATTTACAGCACCGTAGAGGAGACACACCCATTGAAGGACGTACCTCCAACTTACTTAGAAACGACTGGTAAGGATATGATATGAGAACGATCTATTATAAGAACAAAGCAGTAACAAAAACTTTTACAACAATAAGAGACTGATCCTTTTTGGCCACAAAAAGAAGTTTCCGTTTTCTGATCAGGAACTGGATCCAAAAGTGGTGTGGCGACTTGGCTTTTTTACCCTTTTCTGGAAATGATGCACGTTTAACGGGCAATTTCCATCACGACTGTATGCTTGCAGGCACATGTTACGCTGGATGCTATCAACACTAAAATAGACTTTGCCCTGCACTTTCTAATTGTTTAAAAACATTTTAAGCTTGTACTTGTACACAGGAATTGAGACCATCTCGTATGACTGGTTCCCAGATGTAAATGTATAATACAGAAATCCACCTGACAAAGATTGTTTGACAACGTACGGGGAACTAGGGGGACTCCTTTACTGTACATATTACTCAAACGCACACAATCAAAAATGCGTGAAAGCTACGCAGTAGCAGGATTCCAGTCGATCAAACAAGTTTGGCAGATTTTGGACATCGTTTTGCACCAAGTAAAAGCTCTTCTATTAGCCAGCACGCACGTCTAAGGCAGACACGCGCGCTGACCAGAAACCGGGGACTTTTTTTTGGGGGGGGGGACTTAAGCGCATTTGTATTATTCATAAATTAATGTCCAGCATGCGCGTGTGCCTCGAGAAACACGTGCTCAGTGCCAACGTGCGCAATGAGCTTGCTAGGGCAACAGCACCAACAGTGAGAGTGATATTTCTAATTACACCCAGATAACAGCAATAGAAAGTACATCAACAGCAATTTTGGACATTCAGTACAAAGCAAGGACATGATATTATTACAGCATCAGAGGCAAAATAAAGAAATAGATTACAGCATTCTTAAATAATCGACTTCAGGGAGTTGTTGTCAACGGCGAATTGTCTAGCTGGCACAAAGTTGTTGGGAGTGTGGTGGGACCACACCAGTTTCTTCTTTTCATAAATGACATTCGATTCGTTGTGAGGGGAGAAATTAGAATAATTGCCGATGATTGTCTTATATACCATCAGATCAACTGCAAGTAAGATGAAGGATTTCTGCAAGCTCACCTTGATAACCTTATTAAATGGGCTTCTGCACGGGGTATGAAATTTAATGTTAGTAAGGGAAAATGATGCGAGTTTCTCGTACACGCAACCCTGGTAAACCATCTTATGAGATGGGTGGTGTGTGTCTTGAAGTAATGAAAGAGTTCAAGTGCCTTGGAATACAAATTGAAAATGATTTAGGATGGGGAAATCAGACACAATATGCTGTCACTACAGCCACAAGACTCCTCAATTTCATCAAACAATATTTCTACATAAGTTCTAAAAAGGTTAAGGAAAGGTCATATCTTACACTTGGTCGATCACTACTAGAACATGGCGTGGCAACATGGAATCCATATAAAATCTGTCATCAGGAGGCAATTGAGAGAATTCGGCGAAGGGCGGCGCGCTTTGTTCTCAGAGGTTATGCTAGGAGGAGTAGTGTCTCCAACATGTTATCGTCACTTGGATGGGAGAAATTAATTGACAGAAGGGAAGCTAACCTGACAACCCAACTCTACAAGATCATCACTCAAGCTATTGACATTGATGCTTCTGACTGGCTTCAGCCCAAAGTCCAAAGATCCAGGAGGGGGAATAATAATCAATTCAGTATACCATCAACATTCTCATCTGTAATCAAGAACTCTTTTTTCAAAGGACCATCAAATTATGGAATGATCTGCCCCAACCTGTTATTGATTCATAGACGCACAAGACCTGCAGAAAAAATTGTTACAAGTACATGTTGACTAAGAATTAGACGCCAACCCTCCGGGTGACCTCCTAGTCAAGATCCCTAAAGGATGTTTCAGGAAGAAACTAACCAAGTACCAAGTACCAAATAATATGACAACATTGAAGCCGTACTGAACGACACGCTTCCAAGAGCGAGATGAGAAATAAAAGCATGTTTTCAGCAGCAGTTTCCCCAAAGCTTCTCTTTATTTTGTGTAGAAATGCAGGTCATTGCTGACGACGGTGAAAATCAACCACCAACGCGTAAGTGGGTACCATGCAGCCTACAGCAGCAGACTCGGGATGGAGAGGAACATTGTGTCTAGGGATCTTGCTGATTGTGGTCTTAGCAGCAGAGGGCGTGGCCTATGAAAGAGTGAACATTTCTCGGAATACGGAGCAGAAGATGGAGGATCTTTCTGTAAATTGAAAAAAGTATACATGTTATATTACACCTAATTATGTAAATGGACGTTTAAATTTTTTCCAGAATTCTTCTTTCCAACTTTTCCCGGTTTAGGAAAATCCCTGCTTCCAAAGCTTTAGACGTTTAATCGTTAGATGTGCTGTTTCAAAAAAGTCTTAGGTTTAAACGCACGCTTGACCAGCAGTTACTAAAGTGCCATAACGGGGATGTTATGCGAGAAAGTGGGGCAAAATGGTACACCAACTTTGAAGGCCTCTAATTTTTAAAACTGACTTTGAGCCTAAACATTTAGTGTTCAGATCGAACCACGTCCTTATTTAGTGTTCTTCATACAAGAACCAATCATGTTGAGCAAGTATCGCCATATTTAAAACGTGTTTTAGTGCACGCGATGCACAAATGTGTTTCAGATCAAGGCAATAATAGCACAAGAGTAAGATTGGTGAGAGCTTAATGTTTTCAAAGAGCAGTCGGCTTTGGTAAGATCCGTTTTCTCGTTTTTTTTTAGAGCAGTTGGCATAGGTTCGACTGAGTATATTTTTAGACAGCAATATAGGCATGCAGTTTAATAATTCACTCCAATTCACATTCACTCCTTTAAAATTGATCTTCAAGGAAATGGGTGTGGTCATTTCTTTACAGCAGAAAACTTCATTAGATAATATAACTTTATTTAATTGCATTTTTATTTATGCACTGCAACTGACTGAGCAGGGTCCGTTTGGCCCAGTTAAGATAGGATCCGTTTTACCACAAAGGGCAATAGTGTAAATGAAAACCTTAAACTCGACAAATCGCGTAACATACTCCACGTCAAAACTGGTCTTCTGTTTTTTTCACACAGATAACGGTTTAACTTGTTAATACAGTATAAAAATATTTCCCTTGTCAGTTTTCCAAAGACCCCTTATGGACTATGTTAATATAATTTATATCACAGTGGAAAAAATTCAGAATGGAGACGCGCGAATGTTACCGCGCTGAAAACTTCGAAAATGGCATCATCTTCGTTATAAACAACACGTACAGTCAACGTTAGATGGCGCTATATCGCTTTCGAGATATCCAAGGGGTTTGTTTTATCAAAAGGCCCGTTTTACCCCACTTTTCCACTAACTGATTCAGACTATGGAGCCTGAAAGATGACCCCTGATGGTCCACTTCCAGAACCCTTTGATGGGAAGAATAACGTGCAAAAATTCCTAGTTCCTGTCCAGTGCCTAGTCTCCAGAGACGCCGTACTTGAAGTGTGAACGTTTTTTTTAACATTTTTGCTCACGTGTTGAATCAAAATAAATATATATATGAAATTTCAGCTCCAATAATAATCGTGTGTGATGTCATCATGACGTCTTGATTCATTATTAAATTTTAAGTATTCACAACACACATTGTTTCAGTCCCTCGATAGCTTAAGTGGAAGCAAGGGTCCGCGCTGCACCCCTATCATGGAATTATGATTCCATGAATAATAAGCATGGATGCCCCATGCCATTACTCAAGTTGTACTTTTCAATTGTATTTGAATTTTCGTAAGTAGAATTAAATATCTCAATGGCCGATCTTCGATGGTTGTTGAAGACCGTCTCAGGAGAGTAGGCACACGTAAATGACCTGAGCCAAAGCTGGGGGGGGGGAATGATCAGTGTCCATTCTCCTGAGTCTAAGAAGTATCAGCCAAGAAGATTTTCAGTTGGCAGTAGCACGGCGTCTGATCTTAGCCCTAGCGCGCTGCGCTTTCACTCCAACATAATATTTGGTTGCATGGGCGTCGTGCAGATGCTGGAGGGAGGGGGAAGCAAAGTATTTTTTTCGAGAAGGGGAAATTTCCAGGGGGTTGGGTGAGCAAAGCACTCGTTAACAACGAAGTGTTAATAAGTGGAAGGAGGTCGATTTTGAGGCTTTGCAAGTTTTCACCTGCATCCATCCTTTTTGTTTTGTTTCATTTCCTTTAATTTACTTTCCCCTCTTATTTCATTTTGTCGAGGGAGTGGGGTGGGGTGGGGAAGCTCCCCTCTCACGAGCCTATGGTGACAATTTCCATCGTGTCTGAAAGGCAAAACAAACAACCAGACCCAATCCATGTTTCATTTTAGTTACTGCATTTCATCAACTGCATATTTGGTCCTTGCGGCCCCGACCACATACACATACATACAAGACCATATAAAATGTTTATTTACGCTTATCACGTTTTACTCCCCTGTTAGAATGCTACCAAAAAGTCTCCATTTACTTTTTTCTTTCTATTTCGAGTATCATGCGTCAATCGCTGCAGGTCTGAATTTCATTTTATTGCATTAAGTCACCACATTTGAACAATCAACATGGCTTCCAAAATGGCATACACAAAATACGTGGTATTTCTGATAGGATTGGCTGGAATCTGCACCTGTAGAGAGACAATCCAGAGAAGTAGGTCGCATTAGGATGCTCAGTAATGCACTATGATTAAACTTATTTTCAGCCATACCGACGGATGAGTGAGAAACACGATGGCTGAACTCTCGTGGCACTGACAAAATGAAATTCAGATGAAGCTAGGAGGACCGAGTAGTTATTTCCTATTGGAATTCAAGCGTTGAGAACACTGACGGGCGAAATTCTTACGGGATCTCTTTGAACCCTATCAAACCCTCAATCTCATTTGTTCAAAATAAATAAGCAGTTTGCCAAATGGCTGACACGCGAGGTTGTTCTACGTCGTTTCGTTTTTCACCAAACTGTATGATACCTCTTTCCTACACTGACGTTCCAGTCCACACGTGGGCGTGAGCACGTTTGTATCGCAGATTCATTTTAACCACTGGTAAGTGCTCGTTAACAGCTCCATCCATTTTCAGGGCCAGTCAGTCCCGGACCGGCTGGTCATGGTGAATTGTAACACACTTCTTGGCGGATTACGACTTTATGGCTATCGTCCTGGTACAAAATGGGCACGACAGCAAATGTAGCCTAAAACTGCCCATTTTGCACGACCACAGACAGCCGTTTGGAGGAAATACTATGGAATTCCATATGTGCCGTCGCCTGTCGTCCGTCGCCTCTGGCTTGTAGTTGTGTCCGAATTCTGCCATTTTCCGTCGTCTGTTGTCTGTAGTGCGTCGCCCGTCGCGCTTCACTATTTTGAGAATTCAACCAAGCGTTTTAGGGGAAAAAATTTTCGCAAACATGTTTAGGCAATTTTATCCGCAGTGCAATTCACTCTTGCCTACTGTAAAGATGAGCTGACTTGTTTTCATGAAATTCTAGAAATAAATCTGCCAGCCGATACACACATTCAATTTTTTCCTCAAAGTCACCTTGGAATCCAAAAATAATAGACAGTAAATTGGTTTTGTCAATTGTGCTGTAGATTAGTAACTGTTTATTGAATGTTATAGGGGGCAATTACCACTTGGTTTAATTTTCAGGAGATATTGGTTTTTGGGGGTGTGTATGCCATGGTAGAAAGGCCAATGAGCACAGGTGGTCCACCATGTCAGCACTATTTATGAAGCTTACAAAGTTTAAAAGGCTTCTGATTGCCTACGTGCAACTCAAGTCATGTCTAATTTGGAGTATACAGCAGATTCCATCGTAGGTATACCAGCCCTTAAAATATGTTGAATCAGTTTGTCTCTTATTACACACATGCATTTCAAAGTTACTCTTATATGATCTGTTGGGATATCGTGGAAGGGCAAACAGGCAGGGCAGATCGATCGAACAAGTATGTGAAAAAAATCAAGGGTCAAAGTGAAAAATAGCACTGTGCAGGCATAAATAAAAAAAAGCAACAGACGACGGGCGACCTACGACAGGCAACCCACGACGGGCGACGCCCGACGGTAGATATGGAATTCTGTAAAATCCTACGGTCTTAATTTGCCCTTTGTTGCTCTCCCAGCGTTCGGAGTCTCTGCAATCACATGAAATCATTTTGAAGTTAATGTAAACTTTGGTATATTTAGGTTTCCCCGGCCAATTTCTAAAAATGGACAATTTAATTTGTAAAAAACAGTTAAGTTTGGCGTATTTTTGAACGCGACTTGAAACCCGGTTTCGCAATAACAAGCACTCAACTTCGTTTTTCATCCTTCAAATAAGATAATTTGCATTACCTTTCACATAAGCGGTTACAAATAAGTAATTGGGATGTGTGTTCTTATTCGCCACAAAGATGTCTTTTACCGTGACTCTTCGAAATTGAGTATTCATTTTAATTTGCTGTAATTCAAATGTGCAAAAATATACGTTCAGTTTGATTAAAAGATACTAGGCAATCATGACACCACTTTGGTAACAAAAGTAATGTTACTCATATAGGATTATAAATTGTGCACAAATTAAGGTCTTTACGATTGTCTGTAGCTCCCATTCCAACCATTGCAAGAATGTATGTGTGAGCTTCAACTTTGCTGTATGATGTGATTGCGGCAAAACTGTTGCACAAGAAGGAAGGTTCCCTCAACCTTGGTGTTTAATTGGGATTCGTACAATAATCGGGATTTTTCCAAAGACAACACGAGAGGTTTATTTCAGTAATGAGTAATCGAACAATGAACCAATCGATAAACGCTTCGAAGAATTTAACAGGAAGAGTTTCACATACAGACGCCAGCAATTACTCCAAACAGTGACTAATTAGCCGTCAGAAAGCAAAACACGTCTAGAAAGGTACAATTTTCAAATGAAAAAGTAAGTCGTTTACTTTGAAAACACTTTGAAAACAATTTTTTCAGACCAGTCTCTTGGGGTTTTTTGCACAGGGTGTCAAGTAGCGTCTGTTTATGGAACTCTTTCCAATGTTAGCATACAAACGAATTGCAATTCTTGACCGGGCATACCTTAAATAACGCTTCGCACGAAATCGCCTGAATACTTTGCGAAATGGATTGAGTTAAATGAAGATGAAGATAGGATTGCAGATGTGCATTCGATCTCGCGCAAAAAATGAATGTCAACATTCTAAACCAGTGCATTATCAGGAAATTGAACCTCGACTTTATAGACTGAATGCACCTTCGTTGAAATAGCCTTGGTATTTGTTACATAGAAACGGGCATTTAAATGTTAGTTCTGTTTTGCTTGCCGCGTTTTGGAGTTTCTTGGATGTTTTCAAATTGACCGCGTACATTAATAGCCTGCCTATACATCTAAGCATTTATCCACCTAAGGCTTTCTTTCTGACCCTTTTCATGTTGCGTCATTATGTTGTATGACCTATTAATATCTGAGGGTAGTATCAGACTTGAGATTTTATCAAGAGTCGCAGGGGAATCTTTAGTCAGGGGACCAAACCAAATAAAAACTGCAGCTGACTACGTAAAGGTACTCGAATACACTAAAAAAAAACTTGCAATTACTAACGAGCAGAAGCACTGAACTAAATCAGAAGCTCATAAGCAGATGAAAAAAAAACAAAACAATTGCTTACAAACATATAAATAACCCTTTGCTTGGACCAAGTACTTTTCCTTAAGCTTGCCAATCAATTGTTCTTAATATCCCACTGTTCATCCAGATGTGCAGTGGGCCGTGCCTACATGCAAAAGCTGTTCCTCGGATTTGCTTTGCATGCCCCACACTTTCCAAATGGCTGAACAGAGTAATCACCAAACTGCAGATATAGTTTATCAACAACCGACTGTAGTTTTGGTCAAAACCATCTAAAGACTCCTGTACACCTTAGACCTATCCCAGCCCTCTCTAACAGGCATAAACATGGTAGTGGTTTTTGTGATGTGTAGAATATTTGTACTGAGCAAGAGGTCCAGCTATCATGTGGAGAACTTGTAACACTACAAGCAAATGCTGAGTTAATTTGCTGTAAGCAAATAGTTGGTTTTTTTTATCTGGGTAGCATTTGCTTGCAAGAAACAGCTGTCGCTGGTGCTTAAAAGAAGTAATTGTTAGCTTTACTTTTATGTACAAAAACGTACGCAAAAGCCTCCAAGAAGCAATTACTAGTTTATATGTATTCGGCCCAATGTAACAAAAGTGTGATTTAGACCGGCTAGACAACTAGTCAAATTTAGGGAAGTTCCCAATGAGCAATGTCATGCCACTTGGTTAAGTGCATGCGGAAAAAAGCTTAGTGATGAGATCCGATTGGGCTGAAAGTTGTCTAGCGTCGCCATGAAGGTATACTGCTCATGGGTTAAGCGGTGAATAGGGACTGACCTAGCTTTCTTCCGGCTGCGTCCCGTGCATTTGACTAAACAAACATGCCCTCAATGAACTCCGCTCATAGTTGTGAATTGTTATTGCAAACATTGTAGTCAGCCATACAGCCAGGTAGCCAGCCTTCCATATGAGCGATTCAACCACACAGCAGGCTCAATAAATAAATATTTTATGCTTATTCAACACATTTCACAGGTTAGCGCCATTCCATTTCCTTTTTCACGTTGCTTTAAAGCAGAAAAGGGTCTAACAAATTTTACCCACGAAAACACACAAAAACTACACACAAAAGAACATCAGTTTCCCGAACCAAATGAACCGATCAACCATTCCAATTAAAAATCCAAAGACAGAATTATGTCCCCTCTCCCTAAGCCATACACTAGTACTCCTCCGTAATGATGGGAGCATATAACACGCAAAGAAGAGCAAATGCCTCATATGGCGTGGTGTTACTGAAGGATGTGGCATAATTCTGTAGCATGTTTAGAAATTTATATGTAGGTTATTCTACTTGCTGAGAGACCGCCCCTCAAAAAAAATGGTAGAACCTGCGTTGAGTCACATCACAACATCATTGGCACGTACATGAAACAGCATGGCCTCAACACAAACCGTGACTGTCACTGCCATTGCGCAACAGAACAGGTACATTTAAGCCAAGTTTTGAAAGCTGTTACGACTTTGTTACTTCCTGGTGGTAAGTCTTACACAAATCTATGTGATGACTGTGCCGACCTTTTGGTGTATTCAGCCTGTTTGCAGGCCGACATACAGTATGTAGCAGCAGACCGGCATACCCATTTATGCATCTAGCCATATGTACAGTTGAACGGCAGACCACGGCATAATGAGCACATAGGTCAACTGCACCTGCCATGGTCTGTATTATAGACTTGTCCCGATCCCTTTTCCATTCCAATTTCTGACACTCCCAACATATAAAACAAAGGGAATTAAGATAGCACGCGCCTAAAAAATGTCTGACCACACTACCCCTGTGTATGGAAATGGAGGACGAACTAGTAAATGAAAACTCTCACTAGCACCCAGGTTGCAAAGCCTTTTCTTCTTTTAGCAAATCGTTTGTACTAACGTGCGATATGATCAGTCGGGTGTGTAGTGCTCGGGTCGCGATTTTGTTTCTGTAGGCCTATCGCTGAACTGATCTCCATTGAACAGCGTACCGCCTGTGCGTGTGGGACGTGTATTGGGAAGGAGCGTAATCGTACATGTCTCCTCAAAGGGGATGGGCTGTGTGGGTTTAAATTGACGTTGATTGATAGTTTTCAGCCGTATTACATACAATAAGTTTAATTAAACCCTCTTTTATGTCATTAAATCAGCAAGAAGTGGAATTTTCTGTGTGCTTTTTCAGTCTCCGCGTGGGCTCTTCGCAAACATTTATCAAAATTGGTCACTGAGAGCAGCAAACAAATCTTAATTGGCGAAAATGTGACATCATTGGTGGTGTGGATTTCTTTTTTTAAATTTTTTGGACAACTTTTTAAATTCAAGAAGAAGTTAGTGTTTCTGTGGCAAAAACATCAGGTAAAACGGTCCGTGCATGCAATTTTCAATGAATGATTGGCCAGGTTGGATACCAAACCACAATCTCACGGCGTCGCTTGTTCCTGCTCAGGTCACGGCGATGATACCATTTATAAGTCGTCACGTGATGACGACGTCACTTTTTTGCGAAATTTTGAAAAGTAACGAGATTTGACGGCTGTGCAGCCGGTGCCACTAGACTCGGCGACAACGAACTCACGGTCATTAACCAGTTGTTTTGAATGGAGGATAGTATCGTACTACTAGTTTTTATACCTTGATTTGGCCATTTGGCACTGAGATGTAAATACAGTGTAATGTTTTAAAAATTGTAGACGTAGTTTGTCTCTGCAGCAAAAATGAGTAAAGGAAACCAGGAACACGAACAAGAGGTCAAAAGCCTCCAGAAATGTTTGTCGTTTGCCACCTCTAATAATTTCTTCAGCTTCATCAGGTCATTGTCCTTGTACACTTGTTTATGGCGAGTTGAGCTTAGTTTGCCTGGTTTATATTGTTCGTTCGTCTGTTTACTTCTTCAATTTTATTAGCACTGCGATGAACCATATCAATTCTTTTGGTTCATTTCCTAAAGATTGAAAACTGGAAGTAAATTCACCTTTTCCCAATTGTTTTTTTTTATTTTAGTAGGCCCCTGATTTTTTTCGTTTATCTGCTTTTTTTTGATTTGCACGCTTAGGGTGGAGTTGCAATTTGCTTGGTATGGGGGGATACAAACAGCAATACAAACTACTTTATAACTAGTATATAACAACCTTTGTTTAGTTTAATCCTTACAATATGCACACAGATAGATATTGCCCAAATACAGCATGGAACTGCTGTAGAAGCATTAAGTTTCTCGCACTCTGTTACACATAGCTTTTGTTCCTATAAATATTTTTTTTAAGTTCTTTCAGCTTAGCATCTACTTCAGATTTCAAAATAAAGTCAAGGTATCGAGACCTAATGTCACGTGCCTTTGTACAGAAATATTTCAGGTCATCACTTAGTCTTTCCCCACTCAGTAACGTATGTGGAATGTCTGCCTCCAGACAACTTAGATACCCTTTTGATCTGAGTAGTGTTCGGAAAGCAAGTACCTCATTGGAAGTGTCCTGCATCTTTTTGACTGTTCTGCAATCTGATGGATCAAGGGTACCGGCTGCCTCAAAAATTTCTTCCTTGTCTTTATGATCTTGTCATAACAAGCAAGGGCAGTTATCCAGTCCTTTTCTGTTGGGACATTTGGGATTAAACGTTGCACCTGCTTGTTCACAGCCTCAAACTTGAAATCAGCCCCCTCTGCAGTATAGGGTACTCCATTTGCGTTCAAGGACAGTATCTTAGTTAAATATTCCTGGAGTGTGTGTGCTGGAGGTAGCTTTTCCCGCATGAGAGGAGTCTGCAACTTCTAACTCTCTGTACAATGGATGAACTCCCACAAACCATACTTTGGCAAACTTTGCCCTTCCTGCATCAATGATTTCCAGATTTCCTGATCGAATACTGGTTCTGTATATGAAGATACTGCTTACCAATTCAAAGACACAACCGGCCATGAATGAATAGTTGGGGTTTCTGCTGTTCATGATGTACTTGGAGAAATGTGCCGGTGAAATATCCACCTTGTGTGAGGTGTTGAGATAACACTGCGAAAAAACGGTTGTTCATCCGTTATTGACTCTTGAGCAATTCTACAGAGTGTCCACGCTTTGTGGTGGTCTGTCATTATCTTTGCACACTTCCGGGCATTAAGAGACTTGAAGTTGAAAAGATAACCATGTCCCGCCAGAATATGTCCCTAGTGAGATGAACAAAGACTTTTACAATGTTCATTTTAATGCGACCTGAACCTGGAAAAAGTAGTACCCACTAAAACACCTTGCTTGGAACAACAGGCTGCCTGTGTGATGATCAGACTTGACATGAACAATGTATCGTTCCTGGCAATAGATGAATGCAGAGCAGTAAGAGCACCTATATGTATATATACATAATAGAATTCTCCTTGCAAAACCGTATAGAAGTCCATCATACACAAAGGTGTCCACTCAGTTTCTCCTGTGCCATATTGTTCGATTTCTGCCTTTCCCCCTCTGAGATTAGCATAGTTGCAACTGCATCATAAGAGCATGGATTTACACCTCCACTCGCTCTGTGCAAGTTCCAACCAGGGTGACACATTTCAGCTGGTTTCAGATTGACACCACACTTAACACAGTTTCGTTTGCTCTAGGCAATGCCACCCGTCCCACAAGCATGACATCCTTTCTTGTTTCAGAACGTTGTCATCGATCTCATCTCTCCACCTGCATCTACCCACTGCTGTTGAGCAACAACATGATCTAGTCTCTCAGCAATATATTTGCTCAAATATGCTGCAGGGGTGTTTCTTACTTGGGGGGTTTGATCGCAATGCTTTACATGTTGAATTTCATCTGCTGTAAATTCTCTACATTGCCATGATGATGGCTTTAGTCCTGAATTTACCAAGAGGTTCCCCTTTTCATTTTATTGTGAAAATTACAACAACTGTAACAATATTCGCTTTGAAAGTATTGCCCAGCGCCTCTGCGGGACCTGGTTGTTATCAAAGACAAAAACAAAATCACCTTTATGACAACTGGCCTTCTCTCCAGCAAGACTGTTGAGCCAATGTTTCACAGTTTGGTAGGAAGCATATGGGCTGCCAATAGTGGGATCTGTAGAGCCATTTTGCAACAAACAGTTGAATCCAGGAGTGCATTCTCATGGAAATGAATGGGAAGTATGCAAGCAGGATTCACATAGTGCATGATAGATTCAACTGTCTTACACAAATGATATAGTTTATCTTGATAAGAGGTACCTGAGGGTGTCTTGTTTGGTGGTAATTAAGAAGCAGGAAAATCTTGATTTGCCAACCCACAAGGGAATGCAACAACAGTTTTATTTCTAGCAGCGACAAATTTTCGAAGCTGTAGCACATCCAGTATTTCATCTATGGTCCTACAGTCTGATGGGTTAAGTGAACCATTTGTAACATCCTTTCCCTCCATACTCCCAAGATGAAATGCAACTTGAGCACATTCTTCTCTGCTCGGTTCATCTATCATTTCCATGACCAAAGCAAAACCACAGCTTTGGGTTTTCTGGTTTTTTGGCATAAGCATGATCATCACAGGATCTTCCCAACCACTTCTGGGAGTCTTCTTTTGACTTCATCAACACAGTCTTCACAAAATCTGACTGGCCTACCAACTTTAGGAACAAATCCAGAAAGTGGCAGCAGTTTGGCTCTTACTTTGTCTCCGACTTTACTTCCATGTGCAAGTTTGACATTGTCACAACAAAACCACTGGGCATGTAATTTGTGATCTGCGCACTTAGGGGCAAATGAAACCTTTTTTAACTAACCTTGAGCATTTCTGAAAAAATGAGGATAAATTTGTACAATGGAATAAAAGCAAATCACAGGAGCTTTGGCTGTACTTGATTTTTTTACTTTGATAGAATCAAACAATGACAATGATGACTTATATGGTTTTTAATAAATTCCGAGAGAAAAAACTTAATACAGCACACAAATGTTTGTAAACATAGGCCTAACTGCTTCGTAATTGCCAGACGTAATAGAATATTTATGAAGACTTATTACGTTTTACACTGTCGGTTAGAATGTCAAAAGAAATGTGGTTGCTCATTTACTTTTTTCCGGGTGTTCCACGTCATTCGCCACAGGTCCAAATTCCACATAAATTTGATTGCACATGAGTGGCGACCTTCAAACAACTAACACAGCGGCCAGGATGACGTACAAAACGTACGCAGCAGTACTGATATTATTGGCTAAAATCTGCGCCAGTGCGGACGCTAACCCGCCAGGTAAGTTGCATTACGATTACAGAGTAAAGCACGATTCAATATAATGTATTTTAGTCGAGCTGGACAAGAGTGCAGAGTTCTGCCATGGAAATGGACAGGCTAACGTCATGGTCTCAAACATTGTTGTTCAGTTTTCCTTACAACATACGTCGATGTCGTACTTGAACATAATTTTGAAACGCCACAGAACAGCGACTCCTGGTAAGGTTTGACAGTTAAGATAGGACTCTCCTTGAACACCATGTGATCTTTGGCTACTGGGGCAAGCAATGTAGACATGATCTATGCAATCACGGCGGGCCTCAATCTCATATGAACTTTGCCTGATTTAGACATCACGTGCAGCTGTTGTCATGGGGATAACAGTTGTTGTTGTTTTCATTTTGTATTTGGTTTCTTTTTCCAAACTCAACCCCGAATCCTACAGTTTGAGATGTGGTGCATTCACACAATGAGAGGGTCTCAGAGATGGTAGTTTTTACTTCATGGTGGACAAGGACGAGCCATTAACAGTTCTTATGAGAGCACCTAGTGGCTTAGCAAACACCATTTCATTCCAATATTTTAAACAATTTTATTTGTCCGTTGCGGTTTGCCTTTTGTTGCTATTGGCAAGCGCTTGCCACTCCGCCGTGGTCAACTTCTCTGACATCTTGTAATATTTGCAACTTAACTGAACTGAAGGAAACATGCAGTGCATAACTTTTTCTGTTGAGACCGTGGAATGACCTACAATAAAAAAGAAGGAAAAACTTAAGAAAAAAAAATATTGTAAATGAGAGGAGACTCACAGGTGCATTTTGGAGGGTCTTTATTGTAAAATCCTATTGCGTTCACAACTTCATTAATTCAGGTTATTTACTTGCTTGTTGTACTTAATAACACAAAAGTGTTATTGATTATAAGCAATGGAATAAGCCTAAGAGCCTTGTTCCATCATGGTTGACGAAGCAGTTTGACCATCCGTCGGTGGAAGGACAATGGTCAAGCTGGAGATAACTATATGAAATTCGAGTGACGACCACGTGTGGACCACTTTTGATTTTCCCTGGTAATCTGTACTCAAAACACATCTGGGTAGGCCTTCCTGTTTATCAGTGCTTTTGGTAGTCTTATGCGAATATGATAAGTAAGGTTACGGTGCGCACTTTGGGCTCATTCGTCAATGGCTTACATCTGCATGTTGGCACTTGAACATACCTAAATAGGGTACAATCACCCAGATTAATCTCTTTGGTTTGTTATTCCAGAAGTTTGGAATGTCTCTATAACAACGTCCCCAGAGGGCCCTGTCCTCGAGGGCAGTAACGTCACGCTCACTTGTGCCGTTAACAGCGACCCACCCTCTGGAGGATGGCTTGAGTTGCAGCACCGTTTCTGGTATAGGACCACTACAGTCAGTGATACGATATATGCAGCGACCAGCCACAATTTTGAACTTGAAGGAGTCCTCAGGAACCAGACTGGCTTGTACCGATGTAACGGAAGGCAAAACTTCGAACAATGGTTTAGGTCCTCAAATTGGACTTCCGTCATGGTCCATTGTAAGTAATCTGAGCAAAATTTTAAAGAATATCTAACGTATCGTCAAAGTCATCCTCCTCTATAAGCTTAAAGGGTAGCTGCAATCAATGTTATTGTACAAACCTGTAAAAAGGCACGTTTGTGCCTCAGTAAACCTTATTTTCAACTTTGGTTACACTATTTTCTAATGGTATTTTAATACCTTTTTGGTTTTTATGCTAATACGTATTTCCATATTCAAAACTGTGATGTCATTTCAGGAAGAAAATCTTACCTTGGATTGCACAAAAAGTCGTACGTTTTTTTAGATTTTCCTGGACTATGTTTTGTCGTTTTTCTCGTTGTTTTATTGTTGGTTATGTATACAGCAAAAAGAAATCATCAATCCCCCACTCAGAAATTCTTTCAGTTAGCAAATTTTGCAATTTGAAACGAAATACTAATGAACTCAACCATGTCTTCCCTAGATGATTTCACAGCAATAGTGCCCTCAGTTGTCCCGGGAAACATGGATAATTTTGAATTTTTTATATTTGCGTACTTTTCAGTTAATTTAACCAAATGTGTGTTTTCAAAGATGTAGAAAAATTGTTTCGAAGAAAAATTCGTTGCAGCCACACTTTAAATAATGACCCCCTTGTGACAAGCAATTTGGTTGCCCAGATTTCATTACTGCCAGAATCCGCCCGCAAATTAAATTCCTGGCCCTAGGTGTCTGAATATTTTTCAAACATTGGGAAGGATTTTATTTTTCTTACTCCCAGGGTTTAGAAATCCTCAAACATAGGGCTCACCCCTAAGAAAACCAAGCATGTTTCATAAAGAAATTCACGAATGTAATCTTGCCCCAAATCTCCTCTACCAAAATTCAGTCAAAAGTTAAACAGTCAGTTGTGGGTATTTTGGATCACTTCCAGGTTTTAAAAATACTTGTGATTTTGCTTGTAACAGACTTACGAATATGGTGGGAGAAATCAAAATTGGAAAAGACGTCATGTTAAACCCCACCCACAAAGTAAATACTTTCATGGCACTTTAGGCTTGTTTTTCAAAACTGTATTAGAATTCATCACATTGTCCTTCAAAAATGAGGCGTCTTTAGTTTTTCCAACTGGCAGACGGGTTGTCTTAATTGTTATCAATTTTTTTTGATATCACGACAAAGATCGCCCAACAATAATCAATAAATACAGGACGTGGATTGGCGCAGAGGAGACGTACACTGCAACTTTGGAGTGCGTGATCCAGGGAAACCCCCAACCTATGGTAATTTGGTACGGTCTAAACGGAACCATCATAACTGCTACCAACGGCTCTGAACTTTCTCTGAACGATGTCATTAGCGGGGATGGAGTCTTTGGATACCTCGTCAAGAGTCGCCTTACTATTGACTCTGTGAGGCCCAGCAAAGATTACGGGATGTACAGGTGTAGAGCTTCCAACAATATTGGCCCATACGACGAGCATGAAATACAGCTAACTAAAACAGGTACATATATTTAATGCTTATTGGCACATACTGAAATACAGAAATGGTCTTGCTTAAAGGTAAAGTGTTTAAAAACCATCCCTTCTCACCACACAGTGGTGTGCTGCGTGTGAAAAATCACCCCTTCTCACCGCACAGTCGTGTGTTGTGAACTTACTCAACGGTGTCCCACTGAAGACATTTTGTAGTACATGCAAGTACGTTAATATTGCAAACAAAATAAGGCACATTATGCATCCGTAGGCCTGCAGTCTGTTGTCACTGTAGGTTTTTGGCTGCTCTGACCCTCGTCTGCCATTGTGCTGGACTCTATGTAGTAATGGTACTGTCCAAGAAACCAGTTCTTGGTCTTATCTGTTTGGGCTGCTGCTGTGTACAAACTCGCTACTTTGTGCCTTTTCTCATTTTCAGATGGCCCTGACGCCTACGCCGATTTTTTATTGCAATCAAAATCCTCGTGCAACTTTTAAAGCTCTGTATACTCCGGGCAAAAGTATCATTTTTTTTTTACTTTTGTCACTTACGGGATAAATAAGAATGGTTTAATAAAAAAGAGCGAAGCATATTATGTTCCCCTTTATATCATCAAGATGCTATCTTTGATGTCATTTTATAGTGTTTGATCTCCTCATACCCTCCGCTTAAACTCTCCCCTTCTTCCCCTCTCTTTCTTATTTTGCCCTTGTCACTGCAACATAAGTTGATCTATTTATTGGCATTCCTTATTGAGCATGATTCCATCGCTTCGGTTGAATGAGTAGCAATTCAGTGGTTTTTTTTTCAAGATGTATTTTTGCGTTGGGGCGATGTTAATTATATATAACAGTTTTTGCCCTTACCCAACGTATATAAATAAGCAAAAAAAAAACCTCGCAAGCTTACTCGGGTGGGACTTGAGTGTTATATATAATTCACTGTTTGGTGTCCTGTCTTCCGGTGATGGGGAATTGCTGGGTGATTGGGGAAGTGGTTCCATAATTGGACCAGTCTGGTTACTAACCAGTTCACCAATGTGTAATTCCGGTAGAGCAGCTGATTTTAAAACGTGTGGCGTAGCGTCTCATCATGCGTAAGCCTTGCGCCCAAAATTTGGGTTGTTTCTGCAGTGTGCAAAATGTTTATTGTAAATTTCAAGAGTAGTCTTAGCCACATGAGCAACGTTATAATTAGATTGAACTTCTTGAACACAAACGGCCGCAGCTTTTACGACGGCTGTTTCTTTCTGTAATACATAAGTCATGAACAGTCGCTGCCATTTTGAAAAAAAAAGTTGTCATCTTTACTCTGAGGGGAGGTCTCTCACAGATATTGAATCAGCCTTCACCGGTCGCATGAAAAACTTCAATGGGTTGCTATGCTAAGTAATAATTTATGTTTCAAAAAAGAACATTAATAGTTGAGATTTAAAAAACGGCAGGAAACAAAACAATTGAGGAAAACGTATTCAAAAATGAAAAAAAATGAGTTTCCTTAGACCCATTATACTGTCGATTAATATCATACATGCCTACCATGACAACATAAAAAGTAATATTAAGTACAAATGTGCCGTTCCAAAAAATACAGGAGGTTGGTAACAGGCCCAAAGATGACTCTGAATATCATGTAAATGGGAAAAAAGTGGAACCAAAATGCATGTTGGGAAATGGAAAATATTGTCCCTTTTAAAAAAGATACACCGTCAACCTTAATACTTTTTTCCGTGTGAGGTCTAATAAAGAGATCAAAATTGCATTATTTTCTTGCTTTTTCTTTAAAGGAAAACCCGAGCCGCCACGTAACCTGGAAATGGTCTATGTATCAAGGACGCGCATAAGAGTCACGTTTGAGCCTGGTTACGACGGTGGCGAGACATTGCAGTCCGTCTTCGCCAACATTCGCGAGATCCCTGGAGAGTTTGACCCCAGTGACTGGAACCGACTCAGTCGGAATAGCACTTCCTTGCTTTTCGACTACCTCGAACGGGGCACCGTCTACCAAATTGCCTTGTATGCAATCAATGTCCATGGCTCTAGTACATATGCGAAGATGATTGTTTGGACAGATCGTGAGTACCGCTAGCAGTAGGAAAATGTGGTTTGTTCCGTATGATTTACCTGGTATAATTTTTTTTTCGGATTTTCAAAATTTGAATTAGGAAAACAGTGACTGCAAACACATCACCAACAGCAAGAACTACAACATATACGACCTAAAGTATCTTCAAGCTTTGATAACGTTCAAGCTTGGATCATGTTTTAATGTTGCATTTTTTCTTATTTTTTTCCCTCCGTGCTTGTGACTTCTTAGACACTGAACTGCATTCCTTAGGTGAGTGGGACCTTTTCAGTTAAATTGTTGATTTTACCGCGTTTTCCTTTCGCGTTGAATTAGGCAAATTAGGAAAACTGGAAATTAAAGCCTAGAGTTACGGAGAGTAATAAGAAATTTCTACACAATAGAGAGGAAAATGTTTAAGCACCACCCTATTAAACTAATGAAATAAGCAGCAGACACGGGGAGAAGAATATTGGGTGGTCATTACAAGGCAGTCAATATAATGACGGATCCTAAAAGAAAAATTTCAGACTAATGTAGGAAGGACTCTGGCCTTGAAATTTGCACATGTTAATGGATTACAGTATCGATATAAAAAGATGTTTTTACCAGTTAAATTATATTGCAGTGAGGTTTATGTCGATCAAATAAGATTGAATTCCAAATGTAATAGTAGCATTCAACAATAGAAGCAGATTTTACAAGTTTTTAACAGTGGCTTCCCCAAATAAGCTTTGGAATGTTTTTTCAATCTGCTGAACAAAACCTGAGTATGCAGTGTTAAAAATAGGCGTCATTGTATGAACAAAAGTGTTGTTCAAAAATTTATCATCTCACCGATGCAAAGATATTTATCGAAGAGTTCATCGCGTGCCAAGTCAAAGTACAGAAAAATCATAATGGTAAAAACGTTATTTACTTTCACACTTCATGTAGAGAATTTGCGACTTCCTTGAAACTATTTTTAAGATTGCCATTGACTGAGCAGGGAAATATAGTTCTACCCATTACTCGGAAAAAAAATGACGGAATGAGTTATAATAATTTTGGCAATCTGTGCCGCGTGTTATTGAGGGTTGATGTGGAATGATATCGATGTCGCAATGTAACTTCTGTCTGTGCTTCGAATTCGCCATCAGGTATAGACGTGTCGTACAGCAGGGCAAAAGAGAGATTTGTCATCACTGGCATACCACAAGACAACGATACAGCAACCTGCTTGCGAATAGCTGGGTATAACTACGGCATGAGAAGATGGATGAGTCTTGGTTCAGACCTGGATTGCATTCAGCATGATGGGGAGTTCCCGTACTCTGGTCCGTTTATCCGAATGAAATGTGAATACTGTCGGGACAATCGGTGTACCTACTCCAAAAGAATATACGGTAAACGAATACTGTGTTTGAGCCTTGGTGTGACTAAAAAAAAATATTTTTTTTTGTTTTTATTTAGTTTCTATAAAGTGATTTCATCAGATATTCTGTGTTGCATCTGTATAGGCAAGTTCGACCACTGACAATTTACTGATCACTCTTCGATTTTCCTTGGTAACGTGCACAAAATGCATCCTTGGCACCAGGCAAAATGGAACTGTGGTTGACAGTTGTTTATTGCTTATTCTTGCCCTTTGTTGTCTCAATTTCCAAACAATCTTTTCAGAGAAAGAATTAGTGTTTTAATTTTTGTGGCATGGGACGGTTATATTCCTTGAGCATTTTTGCTTCTGACACTTAATTGAGCATTACATTATAAAAATGTTAATTGGTTTCCCAAAGAAGCCTAAACTGCGTTTGGTTAATAAAAAGCACGGGCTAGCACCTTCAGTTACCATGTTACTGGTAAAACAAACTAGGGGATCTGCTCTTAATGTGATGATGATAATGTGATTCAGATATCTGTTCCTCATCATTGGGCGACCCTCATCTCCTCTGCAGCTAATAAAAAGCTAAAAAAAAACGTTGAAAACAAATCGCAGAGGGAGTTCCATATTTACTAACAAGAGATATAAACCTATCAATGGGAAATGCAGTGACCCAAAACGTTTGTTTATCATATCACATGCTAAGTCAACTTGTGCGAAGAATATGTGTTTTCGACGTCCTTTTAGCATGAAATTGCCTTGATAACCAGAGAGCGAGACCTTTACCAGACATTTTGTTCTGTAAATGTAACAGTAACAAAAAGACCTTATTTTCCTAATCGATACTTTTTACATCATGTTATATCAGTTTTATACTCATCAGTTATATACTTCAAATCAGTTGATGTAATACAGATCGACCTCCCCTGATACAGGTTCTAAAGCCAGACAGACAGCTGGGTCGGCTTTGAAATATAGCGTCTGTGACTAACTTAATTCATTTTGTTTCGCATTTTCAGATGACACTGTCCTCATTCCAGATATAATTACAGTCACAACTTCCATACCTACTTTAGAGCTCTGTAAACCTTATCCTACTTGAGCAGTACCACGTCTCATGTGTTGAACAGAACCAGGTTTGATGGGGGTGTTCATTTTGCTGCTGGCCAGGCGAAAGTAACGCATGTATTTTATAATATTTTGTGCGCCAGCTAAGTGCAGTTTCTCCCTCTCTTGGTTTAGCTTGGGAAAATGACAATTTTGTCACTCTTGATACCAACAGGAGCCATGAGAAAGGTTTAAAAAATTGCGTACCTAGTATTATATCCACTTTTATGTTGTCAATCTTTGAGTTCATTTCGAAGTTTTTAATTTCCACATAGCATTTGTTTAGAGATAATTTCCACGGTAGAATTAGCTGTTTTTCAGGCTATCATTATTTGTAATTGTATTTTGCTCCATTATCCTCGGTATAAGTAAATCTGACATTCGTATTGTTGTGGGGAGAACTGCCAAATCGCAAGGGACATTTGCAATGTGAACATTTTGAAAAAATAATCAAACTTCTTTGAAATGGTTGTGGGAACAAAAGGGTCTTACAAAGTCTCAAAGATTTTCAGTCATTGACAAATCAAAAAGCATAATTGCATGTCCTAAAGACACAATGTATTGTTCCTAACGCAAAATTGTCCGACGAAAAAAATCAGCCTTTAGGAAAACACAGTGCTATGCAGATATCGAAAACTACAAATAGCATGAAAATGATCGTGGAGTCTCTCACATTGCCAACAGCATTTGTCTTTGCCGGCCCTGATTACCACCATTCGTCCAAAATTATCGTTTGAGATCCACCGAATGGAATTGGTGCACTTCCATACTCAACTGGTTTGTTACTACTTTACATATAGGCAGAAATAATCAAGATATGCCCCAAACATTTTGGTTTAACTTTCACTAGGGACAACCCTTCATGTAAACGATTTCGTTACTTTCATTTGTTTGTAACAAGGAGAGTATCATTACGCGAATAAGAGCATTATGTAAACAATGGGACTGAGTTGTCTGAGCTCACCTGACACTCTATTGAACGAGTAAAGTAACTACGACTTAGGTCAAATCTTGTGAGTCCAAAAGACTGCGTGCCAACAAACCAAGGCAACCCTGAAAAGATTGCTTACATCAGACACGCAGTTGTAGTAGTGAAACATTCATGTTCGGACTCTACCTTTGTCTTCCTCAAGTAATATCTGGGAAAAGATACGTAGAAAACGAATTTTCTTAAAGACCTTTCACTTCCACTGAAACAGCTTATGAACCAAAAAATCAGAACACAAAAAAAGCCTTTTTTTGCAAAATTGCGAAAAAGTAGACAACAAAGAAACACAACAGAAGGAATGCCCTTTTTGCAAATTTGTGGGGTATAAAAAAACTGTGGGCTGTTTGAAAATGCGTCGCTATTTTTCCGAGGAAAAAGTCTGGGCGACAGATTATTGCCTCCGACGCCCCTCTTGGGTCGAGGATAGAAGGTTTGCCGTGCAAGGAGCTCACTGGAACTGAATTGTCTACATAAATTGAACTTTTCGTTCGGTTACCCGTACAGATTGGGACGTGACCATGACCATAACTCCACCGGGTCCGGTCGTCGAGGGCACCGAGGTCCAACTCACCTGCATCATCAACAGGGAAGAACTTTATATCAAATTGACTCTCTGGCAGTTCAGCCGTGATCAAATATCCTCAACCAATCTTAATCGACCGACATATGAAAGACCTTACACAACTTTGAGTCTGGGTGACGCATACAGAAACCAGTCTGGCTGGTACCGATGCGCTTGGACCAGATACTCAACACCGTCTAATTGGAAGCCAAGCGCATACTCGGATTGGACTGCTGTTACAGTGTTCTGTAAGTAGATCTGTAACTTCCAACAAAGTGGAAAAAAAAAACATTCAGATCACTCACATTTTCTGACACAGTAAAATGGCATTCTTAAGGTAGCCAAGCTGTTAATTAGTCGTAGCTATTCATAATGCGACTGCCACTACAGTAGTTTTGTTTTAAAATGAAAGAAATTCCTCAAAACTACATTACTTTGTGATCCAAAACAACTCTGAAGACATTGGAAGGATCACAGACACCTGCGGCGATTTTTTTCCCAAACGGGTTTGGTTTCTGTTTTGTGATTGGTCCCTTACATGCATATCTAATGATTTGTTCTCGACCACACAAACCAAACGCACTGTGAAATTTTTTCACTCGTTAATCACAAGTTAAAAAGAAGTGCAAAACGACAGAGAGGATTTGAAACTGAAATCTACAATTCCAAGTCGGGAGTACTTCCAAGCAATCCACACGTGGGCTGCCAAGCTCCAGTGAATTTAAAACCTTCATACCTTATTGAACCACTCTTTGAGCCTTTGGACTGAATTGTGAATAATGAATAAGAACAGATGGTGCACTCTTTTGAAACCGTCCGATCTCCTTTGGGAAAAGAACTACGCACCCTGGCAATCTTTATTTGCCTCTGATGCCCATTTTTCTCTCATAGATCGCCCCGAAATAACCATTGAGGGGAGGACGTGGATTGGTGTTAACGAGAACCAATCAGCTACATTTGAGTGCGTAATCCTGGGCAATCCCCTTCCTAAGGTCACGTGGTACGGTGCAAATGGTATCGCAATAAGTAACAACACCGATCCTGGTCGAGTGTACCTGGAAGATACCATTACTGGAGATGATTTCGCAGGGTTTTTAATCAAGAGTAAAGTGACAATCTTTCCAGTGCAGAGCACCGACTATGGAATATACACATGTAGAGCTGCCAACAATATCAGTCAATATGATGAATATGAAATACAGTTGAATAAAACAGGTAAGTTTCAGTACGTAGCTTTGTGCTCCTCACTATTGTTACGTCTTTTCTATGTAATGCATGTGACCCAAAGTATTAAAAACTAGCTGGATTGGCCACCGTCAGTTGAAAATCGAAATGACTGCACTACATAATACCACTTTACGAAAACATTATTAATTTATCAAGATTTATTGAGAGACACAGAGATTTATATAACGGGTATTGCCCTTACCCAACGTATATTAATAAGCACTGTATGCTCAGTGCTTGTCCAAGAGCTTGCGAAAAAACCTCATAAGCTTACTCGGGAGAGAAAGCAATGCTCATTTCAATCAATCACATATCAACGCGCAGCTTCAGTCTTTTTCAAATCTTGGTAAGGTGTACGTTTTACTCACTTAATATCGGCTGTACGCCACCTTTATTTGCGGCCCACGCATAGCACCACCGAGAAGGGCGCCAGCTGGGTATTCTGTGGGTGTCGCCCATTTCAAGTGTTCAGCAATGAAAGTATGCGGGTATGGCCCAATACCGGCGGCACAGCGCCATTAGCCAATTTCCACGGTTCCGTTTACGTTGCCATGTTGATTTTAGAACCTCAGCGGGAAAAAGTGAAGAAAGCTACCACGTGTGTTTCCTTCCTCAGTTTAGTTTGGCTTTTCGCTCACGGTCGTACTCTGGAACGTCAGTGAGCTTTTGTAATGGAAAGAGGCATCAGATGGGTTATTTTGTTGGCCATTAATCTTATGTAATCAAATATGCAGTAGCCTTTTTCGAACAGTAGGGGCTATAATTTGGGCAATTACCTCTTTCTAGCAAGCCAACAAAAGGATTTGGAACCGTGACGTACGTTTCAGTAATTCAACCCCCATAACCCTGCTAGGCATACTTCAGTTGAAGTGTTGAAGGCACTTCGAGCAGTCTCTGAATGAAACTCTGTATAAAAACCGCAAATTGGGTGATAAATTGAAAATAAATAAATTAAAATCTCTTATTCTAATCTAAAGCAGAAACATGGTTGCCCTCTTATATTGGCTTTCTGGAGAAAAGTATATTTGGTGTACAAACAATGGTCATGCACCTGTAGACCCATAACAGAGCTTACAAATGCTCCAAAATTGACAAGTGCCCTCTGAGAGCCTGCTCTTTTGAAATCACAGCGCTGTAGGCCTCAAAGAGCCATAATGCTACTTTGATCAGAGGCGTACAGCAGGTCACTATTTGCTGATGAAGTGCCCACACCTTTTAAACCCTTTAGGATAGTATTACATTTGTACATTACTTTATTTCGAGTCAGGCATTTCCGATGATGGAGGGTTCGGACATTATGCTACTCCTTCGGTTTTTATGATTTTTTTGAATTTTTCTTCAGGAAAGCCTGAGGCACCGAAAAATCTTCGAGCATACTACTTTGCAGAGAATGGGATTCGGGTGGTTTGGGCACCAGGTTACGACGGTGGCGAGACAGTGGAGTTCAATTACATCAACATTCGCATGATTCCTCAAGAATTCGACCCTCTGGGCTGGAATGAACTCAATCCAGACAGCCCCCGCGGTAATTTCAGTGACCTCAAACTGGACACGCTTTACCAAGTAGCCGTGTATGCAAAAAACAGGCATGGCTCGGGCCCTTACGCAACAGTTGAAAAGCATACGAAACGTAAGTGTCGCCTTTACTAGTGTTATTCGCATTTTACTGTGCACGTCGTCTAATGAGCTTCATTACCTCTTTGCCCATTTTTAACATTGAATTCTGTACGACTACAAGACACTGCCTCCGTATACGATCCAGGGCAACCTGCTAGAGCTAAACATAACAAACCCAAGTTACTAAACAGCACTCTAATATTTAGTGTGGAATTTGGAAGGAACATACTACTCTTTAAATCCATTTTAGAAATACCAGTAGCATAAAGAAGTTTAGAAAATCAAACAAACAACCACAGAGTTATTATTTCCAAAGCTATCAATTACTTCTCTAAGCCACACTTCTAGGTTGTAGATGAAACAGCCTAACAATTCTCTGCATTTCTTTTTCTTCCAGCCAATGCGCCGTCAGTGATGGGTAAGCACCTAAATCTCTGTGGCGAAATGTTTCTGCTTGCATTCAAAAAGGGGAGGATAGTTACTTTTTCATTTTGTGAAAGTTATGTGATACCGGGGGCATTTCTGACTTTGAGGATATTTGAATGTTTGCACATTCAGTTTTTCAAGTAAAGTGAAAAGAGACAACCCTTTCAATAGAGTAGAAACACAAACAACCAAATGAGAGAATTTTTTGAATATTTTTCTCTCCCTCTTTAGGTGAGAAACGCTTTAAACATAATAAAAAATATGATGTGAGAACGTTTTCTTGGATCAATTTGCTATGCCTACATGAATTAGCGTGAAGGGCTACTATTGTCACCTAGACAAGAAAATGGAAAAAGAATCCCTGTTCTTTTCGCAATGTTATAATTTCTTTCAAACTTTGGACAGGTATCACTGTGTCATACAACGTGGCAGAGAGGACGCTCTTTGTCGCCGGAATGCCAGAAGGTAACAATACCGGGACCTGCTTGCAGTTGACGGGCTATGACGTTGAACGCATCAAGTGGGTGAGTCTGAGGCCAGACCTGGACTGCGTTCAGCATGATGGCGAGTTTCAGTACTCTGGGCAGTATGGCGGCCATATGCATTGCCGGTACTGCAGGGACGGGGTGTGCGGCAAAGAATCCCATATAACAGAGGGTAAGCTTTGACTCTTGGAAATGTCAACGCCGGTTTGTACACCAGCCCGGTGTAGCAAATGAAAACTTGAAATACGTCACGTTTTTAGGGGTCTTTCGCGTATTCAACCACATGTATTCGATTAATTACCGAATCTTCAAATGCACGTGAAAATAACAAGGGGGTTTCAATTTGATGCATTTTTAAAAACTAAACTAATATTGTAGTCTCCAAGGCGTACCTTCTTTTCAGATGTTTCGAGTAGACATGCGTTTCATAATTCCAGTAACCTTACTCCCGCTGTCCTGGAAATTGATAAATAATATGACCCCTGCACACGCACAAGCTTATTTAGCTGCTTCCTGGGAGTTCAATTGAACCAAAAATAAATAAAACCAATATTTGATCAAATGGGAGATGTAATAGTCAAACATTCATTTATTCAAGTTGATTGATATGTCAGGACCTACATGTACATATTAGCACTTCTGCGGTTCGTGAGACAAAATTTTGTATTTTCTAACACCATTTGAAACTATTGGAATTACACATCATTTGATCTTACACTCCACAATTTGGGTTCAGAGGTAAACCCTACAATTTGTTAACGTCTACTGCAGGCTTCAAAAATAGGTGTTAGTCTTATTGTGATTCTGATTTGAGAGCAAGCCCAAATGTAAACCTTTTTTCTATCTCAGTCATATAAGCCTGATTTCCTGGTGAAAAAACAAAACTCAGTCCATCGACTGATTACATTTCTACCCATTTTGTTATTACTTTGAAACATGTTTATATTTTAAACGCGCTTAGCACATTGAGGAATAATCTACAACTAAATTCTGATAGTTAGAACTGGACACAATGTTCAGCTGCAAAAAATGTAGGCCTACACGAAATGATGACATGGCTGTGTTTAAATTCACTGCACAGTTTGCATTGTGAAATAAACTCTATTTTCACTGAGTGTTTTTTGCAAATGTTTTCTGATAACAGTGCATCCGTCGACTACTCTGGCCCCTCAGTCAGCTCAAACGACTAGAGCGAGCGGTAGAAACGGCGAGGCCACTTGGCCGATAATCTTGGCCTCCTGTTGCAGTTGCGTACTCGTGGTGGCCTTCATTGCATTCTGTAACAGGCTTAGGTTGTGCTGTGTTAAAATTACTTCATCAGGTATGGCCAGTGCCCCAGAAGGACTTTTGTATCCACGTATCTTCGTGCCAGACGTAAATTTGCCCCTAGAGCCTCTGCCTCTGCTTTACTAACCAATTCAGATTGGCCATGTGACAGGCTGTTTTACAATAGGAATAGGAAAGTCTACTAATAATTCTACTAGAAGTGCATTGAGATAATCCCATGGGATTTGGCAACAATGACCATCTACCTGCCACTTCATCCATGTGACCTAAATAGTTTTAATCATATAAGAGGGACAAGTGACATGGGAAGGGGTATGAATCTACCATGCCAAGATAGATTTTGTGACGGGACAGGCAATACCGCCTGTCCCGTCACAAAATCTATCTTGGCATGGTAGATTCATGCCCCTTTCCATGTCACTTGTCATGTCCATGTCAAATTGTCTGTGGTTTTTCAAAATGACCGAACACAAAACGCCACCATATTTTCATGTACTCAGCCTTGTTAATGTGGTGGTTTTTTCCTGTTATTTCATAGAAGAGTGTGCTGAACACACTACCCAGCCAAATACGTAAGTGCCCAAACAATTATTAAATTTCCACCCATATTGGAAAAATACTTCGTATCTGATGCTCATTTCATACAAGCCCCACACTTAGGGCTGTAGTGGCTCTCTTTTACAATATGTTGCGGTGCCAACTTTGAAAAACGAAAGCACCACTTCTTACGTCGGATTTCAAGGCACCCAACGGTGCTCTGCTATGGGTTGTACCGTACAAAACTGGTTCCCCATCACCTCGCGTTACAGACGAAAAAGGAACCCTGTTAAATTAAATTTGATTAACGTTAATATGCATACCACTGTACCATGCTCCCACACACGTGCTGTGGGCGTTCTGTACATGTACACTAGCAAAGTGCGCACACAACTTATGACTAAGCATTGGGGGGTGCCTTGACTTCTGGCGCCACCCAGGGTCAGCATTTAAATATCACAGACCGGGTTTTCAAGACGCCATATTTCGGAAAATATACGGTCTTGAACGGCTTTAGGGTGCTCATATAAAAGTCCAAATTCTGAGTAATACGCCTTTGTAAGTAAAATCGTCGAGCCATTCTTATTGAGGAAGATATTAGGATTCAAAGTTTTTGATAATGGATTTCAGGCATTAAAGTAATGCCTTAAGGTAGGGCTGTGGTGGCGACAAATAAGAAACACATTGTAAAAGGGAGCCACTACCGCCCTGTACGTGTGGGGCTCATTTTATACTTGCTGTGAGAGCGAGTATGGACTGGAAACCAAATGCACTTAAAGCCCAGGCCAAGCCTGGACACGAACCCAGGCCTCACTGGTGCATAGTGAGGAAAGAGCTGCTTCATTACTTGCTTCGTTTGAATGGAATAGCTTTTGCACATTTAGAAGCTTTCCCCGAACCAGCCGCGTTATTGTTTTCTTTGTATAATATTTATATATTGTTTATAATTTAGATTTCAATTTTGTCGGCGTTGTTTCTTGCTTTATTTCTGTCATTACAGCACTGTAGAGGAGGCACATCCGTTGAGGGACCCACCTCCATCTTACTTAGAAACGACTGGTAAGGATGTGATATGAGAATGATCTATTACAAGAATTTAACAACAAAACAGTAACAACAACTTCAACAACAATAAGAGACAGATCCTTTTTGGCCACAGAAATAGGTTTCCGTTTTCTGATCAGGAGCTGGATCCACAAGTGGTGCGACGACGCTGCTATTTTTACCGGCATTTTTTCTGGAAATAAGGCACGTTTAACAGACTATTTCCATCACGACTGCATGCACGTGTTACGCTGGATGCTACCAACACTACATAGACTGGGCCCCGCACCTTTTCAACTGTTGAAAAGCATTTTAAGCTTGCACATGTACACAAGACTTGAGACCATCCCGTTTGTCTGGTTCGCAGATGTAAATGTTTAATAGAGAAATGACATCATCTGACACAGATTGTCCGACTGAATGTATGCGTAACTAGACGGACTTCTTTTTCTGTACATAGTAGCCAACCGTACCCAATCAAAAACGCGTGACAATTACGCAATAGCAGGATTCCAGTCGATCAAACAAGTTTGGCTGCTTTCGGACATCGTTTTGTACCAAGTAAAAAGCTTTCCCATTTGCCGACGCGCACGTCCACGGTAGACGCGCGCGCTGACCAAAAAACTGGATAGTTTTTTTTTAAATTTTGGCTAGCGAATTTCAATGATTTTTTGACCAATCACAGTCACGATTTATGCCCAACATTCGTGCATGCCCCCAAAAACAAGCAGTGTGGCTTTGGGGTTCAGTCAATGAGGTTGAGGCACAATTTGTGACGGTGTCCTTGTTACAAATAACACACACCTCTCCATTCAGCCTTGCAAGATGTATTTGAAATCCACATGCAGGGAAATAGCTGCTCATTTTTACAGAACCCTCGTAACAATGGACACCATCACAAATTGTGCACCAGCCTGATGGAATGGCCCATTGGAAAAGAACACATTCTCAGTGCCAACGTACGCAATGGGCCGAGCTTGCTACGGCAACAGCACCAACAGTGGCTTTGACAGTTCTAATAACCACCAGATAACAATAACAGAAACGACATCAACATCAATATTCGACATTCAACAGTACTGAAGAAGCTCTAAACAACAAGTGTCCAATAGCCAAATGAGAAATAAAAGCATGTTTTCAATTGCAGTTCACGTTCCCCAAGCTTCTCTTTTTCTATTTTGTGTAGAAATGCAGGTTATTGCCGACGACAGTGATGATCCACCTCCGACGTATGAATGGGCATCATGGAGCTTACAGCAGCAGACTCGGGATGGAGAGGAACATCGCGTCTAGGGATCTTGTTGATTGTGGTCTTTGCGGCAGAGGGTGTGGCTTATGAAAGAGAGAACATTTCTCTCAATACAGAGTAGTAGAAGGAGAATCGTTCTGTTAATCGAAAATGCATATTGTTTTACCTTATGTAAGCTGACGTGTAGATTTTTTCTAGAGTTCTTTGTCCCAACTGTGTCCCGGTTTAGGAACATTCGTGCCTCCAAAGCTTTAGAAGTTCAATCGTTAGATACGCTCACTCTCAAAAAAGTCATAGATTTAAACGTACGACTGTGCAGCAGTTACTGAAGTGCCATAACTGGGATGTTATGGGAGAAAAATGGTTGACAACGGTACAGCAAATTAGACAGCCTCTAATATTTAAAACTCACTATAAGTCTAAAACTTTAGTTTGCAGATCGAACCACAACTTTATTTGGTGTTCTTCATACAAGAAGTAATCATGTTGAGCAAGTACGGCCATATTTAAAACCTGTTTTTTCGCATGCCATGCACAAATGTGATTCAGATCAAGGCAATAATAGCAGTAAGATTGGTGAGAACTTAATGTTTTTAAAGAGCAGCCGGCTTCGGTAAGATCCATTTCCGCGTTTTCTTTAGAGCAGGTTCGATCGACTATTTCTAGACAACAGTATAGGTGTTCAGTTTAATAATTCACAAACGTTGTAGGATTGGCCCTTTCCATGAAAATTGATATTCAAGGAAATGGGTATGGTCATTTCTTTACTGCAAAAAGAGTTCATCAGATAACTTAACTTTGTTTAACTGCATTTTTATTTATGCATTGCAACTGACGGAGCAGTGTCCGTTTGGCCCCACTACAATAAGATCCGTTTTTAATACCCCAAAGGGCAAGAGTGTAAATGAAAACCTTATTCTAGACAGACTGCGTAACGTACTGCACTTCAAAATAGGTCTTCTGTTTCTTTTTTCACACAGATAACGGTTGAACTTGCTAATACAATATAAAAATATTTCCCTTGTCAATTTCCCAAAGACCCCCAACGGACTAAGGTAATGTAACTTATATCACAGTGGTCAAAAATAAAAATACAGACACACTAATATTTAATAATGCACTGAAAACTTGGCATCATGTAATATTCGTTATAAATAACGTTTGCAGTGGCAACATTAGATACCGCTGTATCGTTTTCAAAATATCAAAGGGATTCGTTTTACCTTAAGGTCCGTTTATCCCACTTTTCCTCCTAACTGATTTCGACTATTGAAGTACGAAGTGATAGTTCTACCGACCGAAGATTGACCTCTTTCCCCGCTCTTTCGCGTGTAGTATTTAAAACGCGATATTTCCACTTTGTTTACTAATTATAGAGTTTGAATACTGTCAATAGTCCCGCATATGTAGTATACAACTCCACGGCGTACAAATAAGGGCTTTGTGCTTGTGTACAAGTCACATGCCCAAACTTTCCACTAAACCTTCATGACATCGCGACAAACAGAATCACTCCAAGAGACGATTTTTATAACCTCAGTTGGAGCCCACACTAGGCCCACATGTACGGAGCAAAGCTGTCACTGCGAACAGGCCAAAAAAGTTTTGGAAACAAGTGAGCTTCTGTTCTGACAGAACAAACTCCTGTTATAGAGAGAGCCAGATCGTCACGGTACGCCACGACTAAGTACATCGAGTAGGTGTACAAGATTACGCTCATGTCCTGTGCGAACTTGTGAACTAAGACCCGTTGTTGCAGACTAATATTAATGAGGATAAGGCCAATTTATGACTACGACCATTAACAACCACTGGGGCGACTTTTTAAATAATGTCTGGACTATGTTGAGCAAGTAGGAGCACTCAAGGCTCGAGAGAAAACGTTTGTTGTGGAAATCTGAGACAACCATAGACTTGACAAAGTGTGACCACCACTTAAAACGGCAAGATGTGCTTACAATGCATTCAGGTGAATCACTGTAATGTCTGAACGGTTGGACGGAAGACCACGACCATGGTCTTTCTTGGAATAATTGTTATCAATGGTAATAATTTTTATTAATGTTGTATTGTGTTATACCTATGGGTCTTTTCTAACAATTCGTTCTCAGACTGTGTTCAGTTTGATCATTATGATACAATGTAAAAAACTATGATTTAGTTTTTTATCAATGTTGTATTGTCTTGTACTGTATTATTAATGTTGTTATATAATGCAAATTATCAATATTGACGGGTGAATGATATCAGGGTCTAGTCTAAGTCGCCCTCTGACACGCCACATGGATATTTTCTCCACTTTTCCCCATCGTTTGATTTTTCATTTATAGTTTTGTCGAATTAAACCAATATTCCATGTAATCCTCAAGCTACGAATACCTTTTTTGACTGCACAGCCCCTTTAGCCAGCCAAAACAGAGTTCAAATCGTTGAAGACTAACATTCCAAGGTTGGTGAATGAGAACATGGTAGTGAACCATTGAGCAACTCTTCCTCAGGAATGTATTCATTAATCAAATTAATCAAACTTTCACTGCAATTTACAAACCAACAATGTGGAAGCTTTCCTACCCACATGTGTATCTATCAAGCCAGAAACGAGACCGAAGGGTACCCCCAGCATGTCCAATCGCTTTACCCACTCTACACTATTGTTATCTAACACATCCCCCCGTCAGATGTCTGAAAAGAATTCCTCAACTTCCAGTGGAACAATGACCACACAAAGCAGGGAGGCTCTCTCCGTCTCATTTCATGCTTCATATGTGTATTAATAACATAAATTATGGTTATTGTAAAAGTGAATGTCAATTTCGAATACTGACAGAGCGAATCAATGCCTCTGTTGCCATGCAACATAGACACATGAATAAGTATATAGGGAGCAGCTGCCTGTCAAGTACATGTACATGACCAGCAAGCAGTTTTTTAATTAAATGTTAATTAAAATAAAATTTTTAATACAACAAAACACATTAAAATGACAATATGTCAACCATGTGAACTCGAATTGAAATCAACAAAAATAGTGTCAAGTTCTCTCACTCGAAAGCAAAATTAAATCGAAGCCAGAAAGAATATCTTAAAGAAAGAAAAGGAAACTGAACACGCTTTGCATGCATTTATAAACTCTTCTTCTAAATGAATTTTATCACTTCCATGCAAATCACAACTATGCAAAGAAATTTCTGTTTTCAATAAACATGCAAACTTGAAACAGAATCAAAACAAAAAAGAAGAAAAAAAAAGCAATCTAATGCAATGAAAGCGAATCAACAATGCAAGCAAAATAAAACAGACTTTAACAAGATACCCCCCATAATTATTACAACTCAACAAAATAATTTGATTGGAACGGTAAATTTGATTATTGGGAGGATCTTGGCTATACGTCGCGCCGGTCACTATGGGAAAAGATGTCGGATAAATCTGGGGCCTGTCTCCCTCTGGGGCAGTGTTTGGCGAACAGGGATGTACCTATAACAGACCCTATCCTACGGACGGCCCATACAAATCTATACCCGTAAGTCTTAGTACGTGTAATTACCTTACCACCCCCCTCTGCCCCTTTTCAAACTAATTTGAAGAAAATTACAAAATATAAATAAATTATCGTGTGCCTGAGTTGTTGTGGTAAGGAGAAATGAAATGGGATGGACTTACGTAGTGACTGTAGACACATTTCTAAGACTTGCCATGACTGGGCAGGAAAGATAGTTCTGTTCTGTGACGCATTTTCAGTCAGGAAAATCCACCTCCCCTGTGTTGCCTGTTGGAATGAGACGATAAACTGGAGTGATATCAACGTCGCGATTTAACTTCTGTTTGTGCTTCGAATTCGCTGTCATGTATGTGTCGTACAGCAGGGCACAAGGGAGATTTGTTGTCACCGGCGTACCACAAGACAACGATACAGCAACCTGCTTGCGAATAGTTGGGTATAACGAAATACGACACATGTAGAGTCCTCCAGGCTAGACCTGGGCTGCATTCAGCAAGATGGCGAGTTACCGTTCTCCGGTCCGTTCTCCGAAGTGCAATGTGCTTACTGTCGGGAGAGAGTGTGTAGCTACGGAGAGAAAATATACGGTAAACGAATTTGTTGTTTTCGGGTAATTTTTTTCTGATTGTCAGTTTAACATCAACGTGTGTACACAATTTACCGATCACGGGTCGATTTTAACTGGTAACACTATTCAAAATCGATCCGTGGTTGACAAACTGGCCTTGTTTATTTCAGTTTCCAAACCGTATACTTATAGAACGAGCTACTGTTTTACTTTTTGTTGTATCATACATACAGGATAATCGTATTCCTTGAACTTATACTGCATATTTGTAGCGTTTACTTCATTGAACATTACATGACAAATTAAAAATGTGTTACTGGGTTGCAAATTGGAGCCTAAGACAAATATATATTTTGTGCACTTCAGCTGCATTCGGTTGATAAAGGCACACGCCCTTAGTTAACATGTTACTGGTAAAACTAACTCGGTAATTTTGATTTTAAGTAGAAGAAGAAGCTCAAAAGAAGCTAAAGACTTGGCGAGTATAAGAGAACGTTTTAATACATAAAATCTGGAATAAAAGGAAACGGACGATTGCTTATGTCTTCTCTTCCAAGAAAGCGTTGGTGGCTATGCTTGAGATGGTTGGCTATCCATTCTTCACTTCTTCTGCAGATGTCAGTAATCCTTAGCAACTTTGGTATTCCAACAGCACATCCTCAAACTACCCAGAGTGGGCCATAGGCCATGCAGCACGCAAGCGTGATAATCTATCAAAGCCACAGCTTTCAGATCTTGGTCATGTTTAGTAAAAATGTTCTTCACCTTTTGAAAGATTTACCCAACAGTTTGATACCTTGTGGCAGAGGCTGGGAAGTTGATATGTACTCCTATTTAGGGCACAAAATGGTCAGAAAATGCCCAATTTGTCTGGAAAGAGAAAAGATTTAAATCTGAAAACATATTTTCATTAAAGGCTCAGTTAATAAATTGCGCCACAAATGTGTATTTCGCCGGCCTTCGTAGCGTTAAATTGCCTCCAGAGCCAGTGGAGGACACCTTAATATCAGAAACGTCTTTGGTTAATAAAAATTAGACTATATTTTCATCGTTGACATTTGTTATATGGAGTTTTATCTTGTTGAGTTATATAATGCACAGCATGAGGCCTATAACACGCCCCCCGACGCATTCTGTGCCTTCTAAAGTCAGACACACAGCTATGTCGGCCTTTACATTTGGCATTTGTGACAACTTCACATTTATATGGACAAGCTGCTACCTTGTCCTATTTTAGTTCCCACTTTCATGCGACCTCGTCCCCATTCTAGTTTAAATTAAGGTACAATCACATCTCATTCTTACAGCCTTTAGAGCTTTGTAAACTCTATCAAACTTTAGCAATATAGCACCCTCGTCGGTAAAACAAAACCAGGTTTGTCGGGGTATTCATTTTGCTGGTAGCGAGGCGATGGTAACGCGTGTATTGGTTTAGCTCGGGAAAATGTCGATTTTGTCACTCTTTTGCCACCTAATATGTTGAAATGTATGTGTGTCAAGATTGTAATCCTTGAAATCAGTTTGAAGTTTTTAATCTCCTCACAAAAAGTTTAATGGGCATTTTTTTGTAATGTGGACATAACATGTTTTAAGAACAAAAACATTTTATAAAATCTCAAAACTTTTTAGAAAGTGACAAATCCAAAACCACAATCGCCGCAGAAAAAAAATATCCCATGGAGAAAATCCTTTACAGGGTTCTATGCAGATTTCAAAAACCGCAAATAAAACGAAACCATGCTCCTCGATCTAGCCTCTCACTTAGCCATAAGAAAAGATAGGTCTACTGCATCTGCCTTGGTCGGCTTGGGTTACGGCCATTCGTCCAAAATTCTCGTCTTAGATCCACAGACTGAACTTGGTGTGCTTCCACTCTCAATTGGTTAATCAATAGCATTACATTTAGACAGCAATAATCAAATAATAACTAATATGCTTTTTCAGCAGTGTCAAATCACACTTCAGAACCTCCATCAGGATATAGCCCATCTTGATTCTGAACTTAGATCTAATTGTCCCGATGCTATGCATCGAAAACCTGTGCGTCGAGATGGAAAGGGACCTCACTAATCTTGATTTTGTTCTTAATGACAGGAGGAATATGAAGATAGGTGGCATTTTAGCCAAACAACAACGTAGGCATAGACTTTTCAGGCATCAAAAGTCCCATTCCTTACCACCCACCAACTCTAACACTGTAGTCAACCTTTTTTCTTCGCCTACAACTGATGCTGAACACAAGGGTCTTGCAAGGGGTCTAAATTTCTGCCCCCCCCCGTGAACCAGGTAGGACTCAGCCAAGAGCTTACCGAATACTTCTGCAGGATACGACTTGAAAAATGTTTCTTTGACTCTGCCCCCTGTGACCACAGACGAAGGACACAGAAGGAGTCGCAACTCAGGCACTTCAAAGTGTTCAATGACGCCGAGTCAGACAAATATTAGAAAACATTCCGAAATTGCCTGATTACTGTCTGCATCTTAGCCTGACAAGCAGGGCAAGTAATACCCCAGCAATAATTGTAGTGTTTTGCTTGGAATTAAATAGAAATTATTGCTTTGACCAGGAAATAGAGGGACAGGCGGACACTCGCATTCTAACTTTTGTGTCGATTGGCTTGAGCAGCCGTTTATTGAACTTGACACTGTTCAGGTTGTTCCCGCTCGAAGCTGGTGACGTGGAACTGCAAAAATTACATTGCGCACAATCAAAGTATAGCTACTCAGCCATATATGGAAATAGTTCCCACCGGAAGCTGGTGACGCGGAACTGCAAGTATATCTTAGCTTGCGTTTCAAGCAAAAGGTAGCTATTCAGCAAAAATTACAGAGATTGTTCCCACCCGAGCCTGGTGACGCGGACCAGCAACTCATATCAGCAAATACATGCAAAAATGTATGAAAAGCAATTATCATATCAGCATTTGTTTCCGCCCGAAGCTCATGGAGCGGTAAATTAATTTTGGAATGTACCTGCTCGGTACAAAGCCTTCGATATGCAAATTCAAACGGTAATTACAAC